TAAATCCAAAATTTATTTAACTATAGGGGTATTCCTGGTGGTCTTTAAAATTTTTTCTTAAATATTGGGGGACTTCTATTCAAAATGGTGCTCTAGATAAACATGGCTCACCTCCTTGCAAAACCACATCAAAATTACAACTCAGCTATAGAACAATCATCATTCAGAACCATCAGAAATTGAGCTGAATGGAAGTCCTACAATTATAAATTAAAGAAGAAACCACATAAAGACTGGTAAAAGGGGTGGAAATGTTCAGAGGGCTGGTACCATACCCATGTGTGGTAGGTAAAAATCAGGAGGGGTATCTCAGGAGCAAGGGGTTTCAGCCACATACCAGGAGCCTCAGCCTGGGATTGCAGTACTAGGAAGATAAGTCTCCATAACTTCTGGTTGTAGAAACCAGCAAGGATTGAGGCTGTGGAAGACAGAAACTGCAGGAGCCCCAGGCAGTTCCTCTTAATGTGCCTGTGCACAGACTTAATCAGACTTACTACTTTTGAGCTCTAGCACCAGAGCAGCAGATTGAAAGACACCAGAGACATATGGGGAGGAACTAAACTGTCTGGCAGCAGGGTGAGAGCTGGAGGGCAGATTTCACCCAGACATAAAGCCTGGCAGAGGCCATTGTTCCTTTCCTGAGCCTTCCTCTCCCATAGGGTCAGCAGGTGGGCACCATATCTGAGACTCCATTATCCTACCTCACACTGTTTGCCCTACCCAACTTTCAGGCCCACCCAAGCTGTTTTCACAGGCTTTTCCATAGCAGTGGCTTGTCTTGGCCCATGCTTCAGATTCTTTTATATGCTCACAAAAAAGCAGAATCTGGCTAGAGCAAGCCCTGTTCCTCTTGTTAAGTTGTCCCAGGCTTTGTGCTAGGAGTATCTGGTCTTGGTTCACAGCTTGGCCTCACCTGGGCATCTCCAAGCCCAGCAAAAGTAGCAGTCATGTGCAGATCCATTTGTAGCTAATGCCTTTGACCCCGGAGAGACTACAAGCAGTGGCTGATCTTGAATGTGCCAACAGCAATCAAGGCTCAACTGCAAGAGGAAGGTGTACACAGCCCACACAATGAGTATACCTTGAGTACCCAGATTGAGTAATAGTGGGGGCTGTGCCACTGAACCCTGCAGGACACCTACTACATTAGGCCACTCTACCAACCCTGGGAGACATAGTAGCTGTACCTAATACATAAAAACAATGCAAAGAGGCAGCCAAAATGAGCAGACAAAGAAACATGGCCAAAATGCAAGAACAGAAGAAAACTCCAGGAAATAACTAAACAAAATAGAGATAAGCAATCTGTCAGATGCACTATTCGTAATACTGATAATAAGGATGCTCAGGAACCTTACTGAGGACCTCAGTGGCATAAAAAAGATCCAGTCAGAAATGAGAGCTATCTTAATGGAAATAAAAACTGATTTACAGGTAATCAAAAGTGGAGAGGATGAAACTGAGAACCAAATCAGTGATTTGGAACATAAGGAAGCAAAACAAAACAAAACAACCAATCAGAACAACAAGAAGAAAAAGGAATTTAAAAAATGAGGATAGTGTAAGGAGCCTGTGGGGCAACTTCAAGCATACCAACATTTACATCATAGGGGTGCCAAAGGAGAAGAGAAAGAGCAAGAGATTAAAAACCTGTTGAAAAAAATAGTGAAAGAAAACTTCCCTAACTTGATGAAGAAAATGGACATACAAATCCTGGAAGCACAGAGAATCCCAAACAAGATGGGTCCAAAGAGGCCCACTCCAAGACACATCATAATTAGAATGCCAAAGATTAAATACAAATAGAGATATTAAAAGAGAAAAGCAGTTACTTACAACGGAGTTTCCATAAGACTGTCAGCCGATTTCTCAAAAGAAACTTGGAAGGCTAGAAGGGATTGGCAAGAAATATTCAAAGTCATGAAAAGCAAGGACCTACAACCAAGATTACTCTACCCAGAAAAGCTATTTTATCATTTAGAATCATTGAAGGACAAATTAAAAGCTTCCCAGAGGACTTCTGGCCAAGATGGAGGAGTAGGTGGAAACATTGTGCCTCCTCCCACAACCAAGTTTAAAGACAACAAAGTTTTAGTAACAAAAACGCAACCAAAACACAGAAAATTGAACTATACGGAAGTCTGACAACAATGAACTGTTCAGCCAGACCTGTAAGAGGGGCAGAGCCAGTGGCTGGCAGAGCGGGGTTGCAAAGGAAAACTAGGCCGGACCAACTCAGGTGTGAGCAGTGGTTGGTGGATCCCAGGTGTGGGGCTGCAATGGGCAGACCCAGTGAGGGTGCGGGGCGGCAGGCTGTGCACAGATAAACCAGGCGAAGGAGTGAGCAGTGAGACAGACTGTGCAGGCCCCAGTGGCGGGAAGCAGCAGAGGGGACCGTTATTGCCCCTCTCTAACCATGCCCCCACATATAGCATCACAACCCAGCAACTGAGTTGCCCCGCCCTGGTGAACACCTAGGGCTCTACCTCTCATACATAACAGGTGCAAACAGACCAAAACATTGTGGCTCAAGAAGAACTCAAAGCCCCAGAGACAATAACTCTAAGTGACCAAGAAATAGCCAACCTATCAGATGCACAGTTCAAAACACTGGTGATCAGGATGCTCACAGAACTGGTTGATTTTAGTCACAAATTAGAGAAACAAATGAAGGCTAAACGAATTGAAATGAAGGGAAATGCACAGGAAAGAAATGGTGATGGAAAGGAAACTGGGACTCAAATCAAGGGAGTGACCAGAAGGAAGAATAAAATGACCAAACAGAAACGAATGAAGAAACAAGAATTCAAAAAATGAGGAGAGGCTTAGGAACCTCCGGGACATCTTTAAATGTTCCAACATCCAAATTATAGGGGTACCAGAAGGGGTAGAGGAAGGGCAACAAGTGGAAAACTTATTTGAACAAATAATAAAGGAGAACTTCCCCAATCTGGCAAAGGAAATAGACTTCCAGGAAATCCAGGAAGCTCAGAGAGTCCCAAAGAAGGTGAACCACACCAAGGCAAAGAAGGAGCACACCAAAGCATATCATAATTATATTAGCCAAGATTAAAATGAAAGAGAGAATCCTAGAAGCAGCAAGAGATAAGGGGACAGTCACCTACAAAGGAGTTCCCATCAGACTGTCAGCTGATTTCTCAGAAGAGACCTTGCAGGCAAGAAGGGGCTGGAAAGAAGTATTCCAAGTCATGAAAACCAAAGACCTACAACCAAGATTGCTCTATCCAGCAAAGCTTTCATTTAGAATGGAAGGGCAGATAACGTGCTTCTCAGATAAGATCAAATTCAAAGAGTTCATCATCACTAAGCCCTTACTATATGATATGTTAAAGGGACTGATCTAAGTAAAAGAAGATAAAAAATATGAACAGTGAAAGGACAGCAAACTCACAGTTATTAACAACCACACCTAAAACAAAAGCAAACTAAAAGGACAGCTACTTCAGGAGTGGAAACATAGAAATGAAGATCTCGAGGGTTAGCAACAGGGGAGTGGGAGGAGGAGAAGGGGGGAGAAGGTACTGAAAAGAAGTAGCATAGACAGTAGATAGAAAATAGATGGGGGGGCAAGAATAGTATGGGAAATATAGAATCTAAAGAACTTGAGACACATGGTCATAAACTAAAGGGGGGTAATGGGGATGGGGAGGTAGGGTGGAGGGGGATGGGGGGGGAATAGAACAACTGTAATGGTATAATCAATAAAAAATAAATAAATTTTTAAAAACCTGAAAAAAAACAACCACACCTAAAGCAAAAACAAACTAAGAGGACAGCTAGATCAGGAGCGGAACCATAGAAGTGAAGATCACATGGAGGGTTAGTAACAGGGGAGTGGGAGGAGGAGAAGGGGGGAGAAGGTATAGAGAGTAAGTAGCATAGACAGTAGGTAGAAAATAGGGGGGAGGGCAAGAATAGTATGGGAAATACAGAATCTAAAGAACTTGAGGCACATGGACATAAACTAAAGGGGGAATGGTGGGGGAGGGGGTATGCAGGGTGTAGGGGAATGAAGGGGGGGGGAATAGGACAACTGTAATGGCATAATCAATAAAATATTTTTTTAAAAAATGCTTTCCAGAGAAGAAAATCTAAAGGAATTCATCATCACCCAAACAGTATTATATGAATTATTAAAGAGTCTTCTTTAAGAAGCAGAAGATTAAAAATATAAACAATAAAGTGACAATAAATAGATATCTATCAACAATCAAATATGAGAAGCAAAATAAACAAGCAGAACAGAAATGGAATCATAGATACAGAGAATGTTTTGATGCTTGCCAGATTGGAGGGGTGTCAGGGGGATGGGTGAAAAAAGTGAAGGGTTTAAGAAGTACAAATTGATAGTACAGAATAGTCATGGGGATGTAAAGTACAGCATAGAAAATAGAGTACCCTAGGAAATATATGCGTGACCCATGGACATGGACAATGGTGTGGGGATTGCCTGAGAGGGGGCTCAGTGGAGTGGGACAAAAAAGGATAATTTGGGACAACTGTACTAGACAATAAAATATAATAGAAAAATAAAGTAAAAATAAAATAGAAAAAATTTCTTAATTGTTGATTTTGGAGAAAGGGCAAGGGAGAGAGAGAAACATTTTATTGTTCTATTTATTTATGCATTCACTGGTTGCTTCTTGTATATGCTCTGACTGCTGTTGAAACCCTGAACATGGGGGTGGGTGGGTATCAGGAGGATGCTCTAACCAACTGAGCTACCCAGACGGGGCCTTCTGGTGGCCTTGAAGAGCATTGGCATGGATCATGGTCAGTTTCATCCCTATACTAAGAAAGAAAATTTATACGTGTCTTTTCTGTGTTCACGTTTTGGAATTTCATTTTCTAATATTAACTTTTATTGTATATTATAAAAACACCAGTCTTCTATGAGTGAGGCAAAACCTCAGTAGAGAAACACAGACTTAAAAGATCTATAACTTCAACATTATTAAGATGCTCTGTTCCAGTAGCTTTCTTAATGAAGAACTACAATGCCCAGAATTCCTCCAGATGCGTATACAACGTCTATTGCTCCGACTCATCTTCAAGACGTCCTCTGGGGCTTGTAGTGCCACGGTTTGCTGTGCATGCTTCCCTACCCGGCATTTTTTCCGGTTTGCTGAGGATCAGTGCTACAGGAAAGGTGGAGACTCTCGGGTAAAGGCTAAAAACTGTGGTACGAGTAAGGGGTGAGCGGCACAAATGAGCCTCTTATTTCTTTTGTCGGGGATCAGGAATAGCCTTGACTTGTGAGCTATCATTACCACTTTACTCTGGGATTGTCTCGAAAAGTTGCGGGGCATCGAGGGAAAAACTTGCCGGAAAGTCAGGGGCGGATATGTGCGGTAGATTTTCTTTTACCACCCAGCACTTTTTCGGGCCCTGGATACAGGGGTTGACTGAGAAACGGAGGCCTTTTAGGTGTTGGATTTTTTTGGAGCACGGAGGTGGAGGGCAGGGACTGGGGAGACCCTGGCAAGAGACTGGAGAGACCACAATTACCCATTTGGTGCTCCTGTGTATGGGGCGCTAGGGATACCAGGCATTTGCAAAGGGTATCACTGTTTGTCTTGCAGTATACCTGTTCACGGATGGTATTAATCTCTCATGTATAGTCCTGAGGCTTCTCCTTTGGTTTAATATCTTCCCCAAGGTCACTTACGTGGGGCAGAGCTAGGGACTTGACATATTGATGTTCTAACCATTGAATTGCTTCCGGTTTGAATTGTGGAGAGACTGGAGAATCTTGAAGATAATTTGGCTTTATGCAGTGTATTCCGTGTTTACGTGTGTGACGCAGATGGGCTTGGGTCAGGTTGCTGTATTAATTGCCACACAGTAGTCAATACTGTCTCATCTCATTTTCCAGTGAGCTTGGCATACATACAGAGAGGAGTCTCAAGCATACTTTTAGTATTGGTTTGTTGCTGTAATGAGGCTGTTCAAGATGAAAAATAATGGTTTGTTCTAGCTTCACTAGCACTAGAGTAGTTTTTAAGTCTTTTTGAATCTAGCTTTTCTTATCAATAAAATGCAAATGATAATATCTACCTGGAAGTTTAGTTCAGAAAATTTAATGGCATAATATAGTTTAAAGTCCTTTGTAAAATGTTGCAGAAGTATTTGGATGATATGATTTTAGTCCCAGCTTTTAAAAAAAAATATTTTATTTACTTATTTTTAGAGAGAGGGAAAGTGAAGGAGAAAGAGTGGGAGAGAAACATCAATGTGTGGTTGCCTCTCATGTGTCCCCTTTTTGGGACCTGGCCTGCAACCCAGGCATGTGCCCTGACTGGGAATCAAACGGGCGACCCTTTGCTTCACAGGCCTGTGCTCAATCCACTGAGCTACATCAGCCAGGGCTAGTCTTAGCTTTTAAAAATACTATTTCTCAACTGGAAATGCAAACATTTCATACATATATATATATTTTTTTTTTCTTTTTAAGATTTTGTCTTTAGAGGGGAAGGGAAGGAGAGATGGAGAGAGATATCAATGTATGGTTGCCTCTCGGGCGTCCTCTGCTGGTAACTGGCCCGCAACCAAGGCATGTGTCCTGACTGAGAATCAAACTGTGGTTATTTGGTTCACAGGCCCGCGCTCAATCCACTGAGCTACACCAGCCAGGGCTATAATATATTTTTTAAACAAGTTATTTTTCGTAATTATCTTTGGTTCATATATTGATTTACCATGTCTTGTTACAGTACTTGATTGTTTCATATTTTCTTATTGGACCTCTAATCATCTTGTTTATTGGTTAAAACCTATCTAAGGTCAAAAGTGACTAAATTGTTTGAGTTATTTTGGGGTATCAGGAGAAAGGAAAAAAAAATCCTGAAAGCATATATACTGGCCCTTCTGAAAAAAAATTTTTATTGCGGTCCTGAATTAATGGCTGTTCTTTGTAGGAACTTTAAAGATGATATATTTATTTATTTATTGCAAACACTTTTACTTTTTTATTTAAAAAGACAGCTCTGCTGTGGCCAGGTGGGTCACTTAGTTGGAGTGTTGTCCTGCACACACAAGAAAAGGTTGAGGGTTTGATCTCTTTGATGTCAGGTCAGGGTGCATACGGTACATCCCTAGGCTGCATTCCAGTGGGGGCATGCATGCGGGAAGGCTACTAATCTCTGTCTCTCTCACATTGATGATGTTTCACTAGGGCTTGCTCTGTCTCTGTCTCTTTCTGACCCCCTCCACACACCCTTTTCTCTCTCTTAAAAAAAAGTTCTGAATTTGGGATTTTTCTTCTTTTGCTCTTATGGTCCAATTTGAGAACTTGGTGTAAATTACTTTATAAGTGACATGCAATATTAGTTTCAGGTGTACAACATACTGTTTTGATATTTATGTACCTTATGAAGTGATCACTGCAATAAGTTTAGTACCTGTCACTGTATAAAGTTATTATGGTATTATTGACTATATTTCCTAACAGATATCTTTTAAATGGAATGCAGCAAGAAGCCTCATTTCTTGGACATTTAGTTTTGGATCAAGCCCTACTATTTAATTCAGACTAAAAACAATGTCTCTAATTAGACATTGTTTTGACATGCAAAAAAAAAACCACTCAAGAAAAACTTACTTTCATTTGAATGTTAGAATTAATTTGATATTAATAATGTAAGTATAACCAACTTAAACCATTTCTTTTACAGAAACTGTATATTGGAATGGAATTTGGAACCATCATAATGGGAGCAAAAAATATGAAGGAAAAACTGTTATTTTTATATCAGCATATTGTACCTGGCTGCTAGTTGCAAATGGTTTTATATACCCAACATTTGTGATGTAAATGAAGATACCTTTTTTCTAGACTCAGTGTTTACAAATATGCTTCGTCTAAGAACTATTTGTCCATTCTCCTGGAGAGTGTTCCATTTTCGACCCTTCAGTTGTGAACCGTTGATTAGCCAGATGGGTAAATGTAGAAATGAAGAGCAAGTTTTTGATCTTATTGAAAAAAACAAAGCCATACTTTCAGAAGAGCAAGTGGGATATGCATTTAATATACTTTGGCAGTTTCAAAAGCAGAAGACCAGCTCGTTAAGAAGTATTGAATATATCAGAGACCATCCCCAATTTCTTATCCTTTATAATTTAACTGTAAATAAAATGGAATTTATGAATGATGATAATCTGGTGAATGTGTTGTACATCACAAGACAGTAAGTAACAGACAGTAAGTAATATATTGTTAGATTTTATAGAAATGATTATAGTTTATGTTTTAATTGCTAAACATCTCTTTAAGCCTGGCTAGGTAGTAGCTCAGTTTGTTAGAGTATTGTCCAGTTACGCCAAGGCTGTGGGTTTGATCCCCAGTCAGGGCACATTCAAGAATCAACCAATGAATGCATAAATAAGTGAAACAACAAATCAGTGTTTCTTTCTCCCTTCTTCTCTCTCAAAATCAGTTAAAAAAAATTAAACATCTCTTTAAAATGGAAAACAGTATTTTTCCTTAGAAATAGTTTTCCTAATCGTCTAATATTTTTAAGATGCTTAGAAGATATTCTTTGGTTTTGGTAATCATTTTACAATATTTATATATGAAAATGTGCAACCTAAATTAGATACAGTTTTTTAAAAAGATTTTATTTATTTATTTTTAGTGAGAGGGCAAGAGAGGGGGAAAGAGAGGGAGAGAAATATCAATGTGTGTGGTTGGCTGTCGAGTGCCCCCCACTGGGGATTTCCCCTGCAACCCAGGCACTAGCTCTGACTGGGAATTAAACCAGCAACCCCTCAGTTCTCAGGCCAGCACTCAATCCACTGAGCCACACCAACCAGGGCTAAATAAGTAGTTTTTATTTGATAATCGTACTTCAGTAAAGCTGGGGAAAAGTTTAAATTTTTTTTTACATTGTTTGCAAGGGAATCTAGCCTTCAGAAGTAATGAACTCCTGAAATAAAAGATTTAGTAGTTACAGAAAGGGTAGATTCTGTAACACAAAAGTTACAATTAGTCTTTTTATTAGTCTCATTGGTGGAAAAATAGCAATTTTCTGACATGATTATCTAACCTGCAAGGGCTTTTAAGTAGCTATAGGTGTTAAAATTGCACAATTAGAGATACAGTTGTTATTATTAAGGAGTCAACATACATTGAAGGGACTTAAGGCTTTACTTATTTTGGGGATTAATGTTAGACCAAAAACAAGTGACTCCTTTTTTTGGTGGTCTTTCTCAGATTGCAGTGTTTTTTCTCAGGTACATGAAAAGACGTGTGTGATGATGACAGGCAAAATACCTGTTTTGTGGTCTCAGTGGTCATGTTAGTTTGGAAAATGCTGAACCAGACAAAAATTAAACAACCTTCATTGCAGGGCTCTTCAGAGCCATTAATATGCCAGTGTGTATTACGAGTCTCTAAGTTGTTTTCCAACTCTAAATATTTCCATCTCTAAAATATTTTCCAAACTTATTTAATCACAAAACATTGGTGGAACACCTCACAGGACTGATTGATGTGTGTCGGGCATAGATGGGGAAATGCTGCTTGGTGCTAATTTGCCTAAAAACTGCATTTCTGTGTTTCCTTCCAATCACATTTTAATAAGGAAAGGATTTCAAGAGTAGAATATAATTGTGGGTCCTGACCATTGTGGCTCAGTTGATTGTGCGTTGTCTCACAAAGCATAAAGTCACTGGTTTGATTCCTGGTCAGGGCACATGCCTGGGTTTTGGGTTTGGTTCCCAGTGAGGGCAAGTACAGGAGGCAACTGATTGATGTTTCTCTCCCTCTCTCTACCTCCTTTCCCCTGTAAAAATAAGTAAGATCTTAAAGAATATAACTCTGTTTTCAAGTTTTTTAAAAAAAGATGTAGTTTGATTTTGCTCTATGACTCAACCTGAAATTCTTTGACTTTTAGGAGACAAAATAATACAGCCTTAACATTATAAATATGTTGAAATTGGTTAAAAGAGAAACTTTTATACATACAATATATAGTACATGTGGCTTAATTATATATGTAAAATATCCATTGTTACCGAAAGTATACTGGAACAGCAACTCTGATATGCTGCTGGTAGTGTAATATGTATCATGAAGTTTATTACTTTTTAATTTAAATTTTATTTTTTTAATTACAGTTTACATTCAATATTATTTTGTTTCAGTTTCAGATTCATATACTTTTCAAAGTATTTTCCCTGGTATTCCCAGTACCCACCTGGCGTCATACACAGTCATTACGATATTGTAGACTGTAGTCTACATTCTTGGGACTGTTTAGTAACTACAAACTCGTGCTTCTGAATCCCTTTGCCTTTCTCACTCAGTCTTCCAGCCCCCTTCCCCTCTGGTAACCACCACTCTGTTTTCTGTATCTATAAGTGTTTCTGTGTTGTTTGTTTCTTTAGTTCTTTAGATTCCACATATAAGATAAATCATATGGTATTTGTCTTTCTCTGACTGACTTATTTCACTTAGTATAATAACCTCTTAGGTCCATCCATGCTGTGTATCATGAACTTTAAAATTACCCTTGAAGCCCTGGCTGGTGTAGCTCAGTGGATTGAGTGCGGGTGGTGAACCAAAGGGTCACAGTTCGATTCCCAGTCAGGGCACATGCCTGGGTTGCAGGCCAGTTCCCAGTGGGGGCCATGTGAGAGACAACCACACATTGATGTTTCTCTCCCTCTCTTTCTCCCTCCCTTCTCCTCTCTCTAAAAATAAAAATAAAAAAAGAAATAAAATATAAAAAAACCAAAAACAACAAAAACCCCTACCCTTGAACCCAATAATTTTCCTTATAAAATTTATCCTGAGAGTAATCTAAGATACATATGAAGATTCTTATACATAGATATTCATCTCAACATTATTTATAATATTGAAAAACTGAAATCCAAATAGTAGATGAATGTTTAAACAAATGATACTATATTCACTTAATAGGATAATACAGTCAAAATCATGTTTTGAGGAATATATAATGACTTGTACAAATACCCATAATATAATGTTAACTTACCAGAAATGTAAAAGAAATATGAGTATTTTTAAAAAGATTTTATTTATCTATTTTTAGGGAAAGGGGAAGGAAAAAGAGAGGGAGAGAAACATCAATGCCTGGTTGCCTCCCTCGTGCCCCCTACTGGGGATGCAGCCTGCAACCAAGGCATGTGCCATGACTGGGAATTGAACTGGTGGTCCTTTGATTTGCAGTCCTGCATTTAATCCACTGAGCCACCCTAGCCAGGGTGAAATATGAGTATTTTTTTATGTGCGTAGGATAAAATAATTGGAGAGAAATGTTCCAAAGTAATGATGGTAGCTATTTATGAATAGCAGTTATAACTGATTTTTACTACCCTATTAAATTTTTTCTTTATTTTATAAACTTTATTCTATAGAAATATTTTTATGATGAGAGCAAAGTAATGTCATGTACTTATAACACAAAATTCATTTTTGAGCATTCATTGTTCAGTGGAGAACATTGAAGTGAGTAGACAAAAGGGTACGAGGGACATGAGATAAAGTATAGATGTTTATTAAATTGTACCAAGAAATCAGAATGCTGAAGTTGGGGCAGACCAGAAATAAGGACTGAATGTGTCAGAGTATAATAATGTAGGGTTTTCTTTTACTTTATAATTCTTACTACATGTATTTTTAATCATTTAAAATGTCTATGTGTGGAAATTTTTTTCTCTTGTTTTTACTGAGGTTTGCTGTTGAGGCCCATGACCCACTAGTTGAAGCACTAGTAACTGAAGCATGGAGAAGACTGGACAGGCAAGTACCCTGGGTTCTTCCTCCAAGATCAGGGCTATCTTTTTCAGGGTTAGCATAGTGAAATTTTGTAGGAAAAGAGTGGGGACTCTGTTTTTCCTTAAGAGAGAGAAAACTGTATTTCAAATGTTTCTTCTTTAAATTAAGAGTAGGGAACATAATGTGCTTTTTCACATTTACAATCAAAATATAAATGAGGTAGAGTCAGCTATTGATGACTAACTTTTAAAAAAATATTTATTTTTATTTTTTAAAGATATTTCATTGATTATGTTATTACAGTTATCCCAGTTTTTTTTTTCTCCCCTTTATCCCCTTCTGCTCAGCAGCCCCCATCCTCCAGCATTTCCCCTCCTTAGTTCATGTCCATGGGTCATACATAGAAGTCCTTTGGCTTCTCCATTCCCTATACTATTCTTAACCTCCCCCTGTCTATGCTGTGCCTACCATTTATGCTTCTCATTTCCTGAACCTTTTTCCCTCCTCTCCCTCCCCCTCCCCACTGATAAACCTCCACATGATCTCCATTTCAGTGATTCTGTTCCTGTTCTAGTTGTTTGCTTAGTTTTTGTTTTTCAGGTTCAGTTGTTGATAGTTGTGAGTTTGTTGTCATTTTACTGTTCATATTTTTTTTATCTTTTCCGTTTCTTAGATAAGTCCCTTTAACATTTCATATAATAAGGGCTTGGTGATGATAAACTCTTTTAATTGACCTTATCTGGGAAGTACTTTATCTCTTTTCCATTCTAAATCATAGCTTTGCTGGATAGAGTAATCTTAGATGTAGGTCTTTGCCTTTCAAGACTTGGAATACTTTTTTTCTAGCCCCTTCTTGCCTGCCAGGTTTCTTTTGAGAATTCAGCTGATAGCCTTATGGGGACTCCTTTGTAGGCAGCTGTCTCCTTTCCTCTTTCTGCTTTTAAGATTCTCTCCTTATCTTTAATCTTGGGTAGCTTGATGATGATGTGCTGTGGTGTGTTCCTTTTTGGGTCCAATGTCTTTGGGACTCTGGGCTTCCTGAACTTCTTGGAAGTCTATTTCCTTAGTTAGATTAGGGAAGTTTTCCTTCACTATTTGCTCAAATAAGTTTTCAATTTCTTGCTCTTCCTTTTCTGCTCCTGGCACCTCTATGATTCGTATGTTGGAATGTTTAAGTTGGACCAGAGGTTCCTCAGCCTCTCCTCATTTTTTTTGAATTCTTATTTCTTCATTCTGCTCCAGTTGGATGTTTATTTCTTCTTTTTGTTTCAAATTATTAATTTGAGTCCCACTTTCCTTCTCTTCACTGTTGGTTCCCTATTTATTTTGCTTTATTTCACTTTAGATATCCTTCATTTCTCCCTTCATTTTGTGACCAAACTCAATCATTTTCATGAGTATCCCGATTACCAGCGTTTCAAACTCTGCATCTGATAGGTTGTCTATCTCCTCTTTGCTTAGTTCTTTTTCTGGAGCTTTGATCTTTTCTTTCAGTTGGGCCATATTTCTTTGTCTCAGCACACCTGTTGTGTTCTAAGGGGCAGAGCCTTAGGTATAGACCACAGAGGGGCAACCTCCCTTACTGTGTTGTGGCGCTATGTGTTGGGGAGGGATCAGAGGGAACAGTGCTGCTTGCTGGGCTCTCCCCCACTTCCTGTCACTTCCCTTGCTTCCCACAAGCAAATTGGGCCCTTTTGATGCTGATTCGTGGGTGGGTATGTGTGTTTATGTTCGTTCTAGGGCCTTGCGGGTCTCTCCAACGAACTCTCCTATGAGCTGGAAGTTTCTCCCACTGCCACAACCCCCACAGGATTTTATAGCCAGAGGTTTTGAGGCTTCATGTCCCAGAGCTGGAACACTGGGTTGCACAGTTTGTCTTGCTCCCAGTTATTCCTCCTGGTTTTCTGCATATGAATGTGGGAAGTCCTGCCAGTCAGCTTCCGCCTGGCCCACCTTGTCCACCACCTTGCTGTACGTCCTCTCTGCCCGGCTTCCCTCTCTGACCCTTCTACCAGGACGAATGTTTCTTTAAATCCTTGGTTGTTGGATTTCCTTGCAGTTTGATTTTCTGGCAGTTTTGGTTGTTTTTTTTTTAAATTGGTTGTTATCCTTTTTTTCGTTGTGTGAGGAGGCAAAGTATTTCTACCTATTCCTTCATCTTGGCTGGAATCTAATTTTTTTTTAATCTGAGGATTTGTTTATTTATTTTAGAGAGACTGGAAGCGTTGAGGGGGAGAGAGAGACAGAGAGACAGAGGGAGGGAGAGAAACGTCGATTGGTTGCCTCACAACCAGTTGTGCCCCCTCCGCGCATGTACCTGCAACCTATGTATGTGCCCTGACCAGGGATCAAACCTGCAACCTTTTGGTCTACCGGATGACACTCCAACCACTGAACCACCTGACCAGGGCCATGGACTTGCTTTTTTTAATTTTCTTTTTTTGTAAGAGTTCTGCTTCAGAAAGAAAAGACTCTCTGACTGATAAGCAGTCATTTAAAACCTAGAAGTTCACGAACCATAAAAAGATAAAAAAGAAGATAGCAGTTTACTAGAAAGGGAACACTTTAACAGTGTATCCTTTATGGAGAGGCAACGAACAGAGCTCATAGATGACTTAGAAGCTTTCAGGTGCATTGCTGTGAATAGTGTAAATTCAGATTTATTTCCTAATCTACAAACAGCTCTTTTCAGTGAGTTATAATCAGTACTCATCTGTTTTTAGAGAGGGGAAGGAGAAATAGAAACATCAGTCTGTTGCATGTTGCAAGCAGCCTGACTGGGGGCTGAACCCTCAACCCAGGCATGTGCTCCAACTGGGAATGGAACCCTCACTCTGCTGAAGGACACCCAGCCAACTGAGCCACACTGGACAGGGCTGTTCAGGGTATTTTTTTTAAGATTTTAAAAGAAGATTATTTATTTATTTATTTATTTATTTTTAGAGAGGGGGAAGGGAGGGAGAAAGAAAGGGAGAGAACCATTAATGTGTGGTTGCCCCTCATGTGCCCCCTCACTGGGTACCTGGTCCACAACCTAAGCTTGTGCCCTGAGTGGGAATTAAAACGGCAGTCCTTTGGTTCACAGGCTGGTATTCAATCCACTGAGCCACACCAGCCAGGGCTTATTTTTTTATAATACAAAGTTATACAAACTCTAATTTGCATCTGTAGAATTTCTAAAAGTCAAAGAATAGGCATTAATTTATGATTTTTAATAGTCTCTGTGCCCTGTGATATTAATTTTTTTACTACAATAGCTATTAATCAATGATTTTGTTAAATTAATGAATTTATGTTACATAAATATAATTTGTAATGATTCAAATAGGATAGATTATTATGATTGCACTGTGCTGGATTTTAACAAGGATAATAACATATACTTGAAATTCAACTGGAAGATTTAAAAGATTTATAAAACTAAAGAGACTAGTTTAATGAATGCCCATGTACCCATCATCCAGCTTATCCAATTACCAACATATAGCAGTCTTGCTTTATCTGTATCATGTCCCATTCCCTATTTCCCTTCAGTATGTGTGTATGTACATATATATTTTTTAATATATATATTTTTTAAGTTATACTTTATTGATTATGCTGTTGTAGTTGTCCTGATTTTTTCCCCTTTGTCTCCCCCTCCCCCCAGCATTTTTTACCCTTTCAGGCAGTCTCCCCACCATTGTTCATGTCCATGGGCCATGAATATGAGGTTTTTGGCTACCCTGTTTCCTATACTATACTTAACATCCCCATGGCTATTCTGCAACTACCTATTTTTACTTCTTAATCTCCTCACCTTTTCACCCATTCTCCCCTTACCCCCTCCCAACTGGCAACCTTTTGGTAACTAACTTCTTTTCTCTAACTTTTAAGAGTCTCTCTTTATCTTTAATCTTTGACCTTTTAAGAATGATGTGTTTTGGAGTGGGTCTCTTTGCATCCATCATAGTTGGGAGACTCTGCTTCCTGGATTTTCATGTATATTTCCTTCACCAAATTAGGGAAGTTTTTTTTCACTATTTTTTCAGACAGATTTCCAATTTCTTGCTCTTTCTCTTCTCTTTGTGGCACCCCTATGAGATGAATGTTGGACATCTTTAAGTTGTCCCAGAGGCTGTTTATACTATTCTCATTTTGTTGGATTCTTTTTTCTTATTGTTCTGTGTGGTTTTTTTGCTTTCTTATTTTCCATATCATCGATTTGATTCTCGGCTTCATTCATTCTACCGTTGTTTCCCAATAAATTGTTCTTCATTTCAGTTAGTGTATTCTTTATTTCTTACTGGATCTTTTTTGGTCCTCATTAAGTTCCTTGAGCATTCTTATAACCAGTGTTTTGAATTCTGCATCTGATAGATTGCCTATCTCCATTTTGTTTAGCTCTTTTTCTGGAGTTTTAATCTGTTCTTCATTTGGGCCATGTTTCTTTATCTCCTCATTTTGGCAGTCTCCCTGTGTTTGTTTCTATGTATTAGGTAGAACTGCTTTGACTCCATGTCTTGGTAGTGTGGCCTAATGTATGTAGTATGTGTTCCGTAGGGTCCAGTGGCATAGCCTTCCCATCACCCAAGCTTGGTACTTGAGGTGCACCCTTTGTGTGGACTGAGTACACCCTCCTCTTATAGTTGAGCCTTGGTTGATGTTGGCAGATCAATGGGAGGGACTTACCCAGGCCAGTCAGCTTCAAGGACTGGCTGTGACCATTGACCACGAACCTCTACCATCTGTGGAGGATCAGCTGTACCTGGGTAGGGTGGTGGTGCTCCGATGTGGTCTGTAGCTGTCCGCTAGGTGCACCACCAATCGTAAGTGTACAGCTTGATGAATTTCACATACTGATCACTTCTGTGCAGTAGCATGAGATCAGCGAACACCAAGACTTCCTTTTATGCACTGTTCCAGTCACGTCCCCTCACCCCAGGAGTAACCACTGTCTTGACTTCTCATGTATTAGTTTTTTTAAAATGGAAATGGAATCCTGTAGTAGGTACTCATACCTAGTTTAGTTCAGTCAGTGTATTTTAGAGAGTCATCCATGGTGTTGTATGATTCAGTAGTTCGTTCTTATTTCTTGTGGTGTGGTATTCTATAAATATGTGCAACTTACCCATTGTGCTCTTAATGGACATTTAGATTATTTGCAGGTTTTTGCTATTATGTATTGTGCTGCTGTGAACTTCATATGTTTATCTTTCAGTGAATTTGAAGTCTTTTAACATCATAACAATTCTCCTTTTCTCACTTTCACCTTGCCATTTACTTGTTGAAGAAATAAAGTCATTTTTCCCTATAGAAAAATTCTGAAGTTTTTCATAGCATGTTGTAGTAGTGTTTGTTTTGTTTGTTTGTTAATACACAATCTCAAATTGAAATTGTTCTGTCATCTCAAAAAATAAGTAAATGATTCAAATAATTTTGAGTAATTTTTCCCTTTTTAAAATCTACTAGCATCTGATTTTTAAAAACTTTTAGCACAGGATACCTTTATAATAACAAATAATCAACATTTTAGAAAATATTCTAAAGTAGTAATATGTTTGTATTAGTAATAATATAATATTTTTATTGCTTTTTATTTTACAACTGTTTTTTATGTTTTTAGTGAAAGTAAATACATCGTATTTTTCTTCAATAGGTTCGATATTCATGCGCTGTCAAAGTTTTCCTCTTGCCTAGTAGATCAACATTTATATTTTAGTCCGTTAATGGGGAAGATAGCTGATATTGTAAATAGGAACTTGGAAACCATACAGGACTTAAGGTAAACTTATTTAGAAGCTTTGTGTTGTGGTGGAAAGATTCTGGGCTTTGGACACATGTACACTTAGTTTGGTCATTTCCTTGTTATGTGACTTTAACTTTTTGGGAAGTTTAATATCTTCATTTATGAAATAGGGATAGTGGCGTATCTACTTTGTGGTGTTGCTGTGGGAATTAGAGATAAAATATTTAAAGTAAAACAATATTGTTGAAAGGTTTGAGATTTTACCTTCTTGGCAAACTAAATTTGCCTTATGTCTCTGTTAGGACCTCATTTGACCTTAATTACCTCCCTAAAGGCTCTATCTCCAAGTTTAGTTACATTGTGGATGGGGCTTTAACATATGAATTTTTAGGGGACACAGGTCAGTCCATAACACACCAATGTTCATAGCAGTATCAGTCACGATTGCCAAAAGATTTGGAAACAGCCTAACTGTCTACTAACAGACAAATGGACAATCAATATGTGGCACATAACATACAATGCAATATCATTCAGCCTTCACACAGAGGGAAATTCTGATATCTGCTACAACATGGGTGATCTGCTAAGTGAAATAAGCTAGACACAAAAGGGCAAATACTGCACGATGCCGCTTAATGTGAGTTACCTAGAGTAGTCAAAGTCATCGAAACAGAGAGTAGAAGGTCTGTTTTGGGGTTGGGAGGGGAGGAAAATGGAGAGCCATTGTTTCATCAGTAAGGAGTTTAGTTTGAGAAGATGCAGATATTCTGCAGGCAGTCGGTGGTGATGGCTGCACAGCAGTGTGAATGTACTTAACACCACTGTCCTGTACGCTTAAAACGTTTGAAATGGTAAATTTTATATTATGTGTATTTTCATGCACACATGAAAGTAGCTTGTAAAAGCAGACAATAAAAATTGTAAATTATGTTAACTTTTAAAAATTCTTGAAGTCCTTTGATAATCTAACAAAATCTTTGGATATTTTCCCACCCCAAACTACAGTTACAAATATATTTTTAAAAAATCATTTCAGGGGTCTTTATGGTAAAGCTAAATAGCAGTGTTAGGTTACTAATTAATGTTAATATTAACATTAAACATTTTGATTAGAAAAGCCAGAGCATTGTACAACTGGGTCTTTGAAAATAGATTTATTTTATTGAAAAGAGTAAAAAAATTTGGAAACAAAAATAATGTAAAAGTTCCACTACATTAATGGTTGAGATAGTTTCAGATTTATATTTTGGCTTTTTTTGTATTGTTTTCTGTTATCATCACCAATTATTTGTTATATGTTTTTTCCATTTTGCATTCTTTATCCATTATGGATGCATTCTTGTATTTGTGGTTTTCTGATTTTTGTATTATGTAAAAATTGTCATTTGAAAGCAGGGACCTCTCTTTCGTAATTTTGGTGTCATGCAAGTGCCCAGAAGAGTGATTGATGTTCTTTAAAAGTATTTATTGAGTGAATATATAGTAAATACTACTTTATGTTTGGGATTACCTGTCATATTAATATCAATGTAGCATGAAACATTAAAAATATAAAGTTATTAGCGAGATATTTTGCCAAGATTTTATTATTAAATTACAGATACACAGAGACACGAGTAATAAAGTAAAGTTCTACCAAAAATATAAAATGAGACTTTTCATGTTGCATTCATGGGCTGTTTGACCAGTGATTTCTGAGTAAATTACACTAAAATATTCTCCTTCAAAGCAGATACCTGTAGAATGAGATATTATACATACTCAGTAAAAAATATTACTTCGATGCTTTTTTGTCCAAAGGGGTTCAGTTACTGGGAGATCTGAGTCAAGTCCTGCTAATATTTAAAAGAAAAATTTTGTGGTATGAAACCCATAATATTTTTACTAGTTCCTTTTTATATCTATTCTTTTAGTCTTAAAATTGTTCATGATTCTTAAATAACGTAAGAATCTTCACATCTTTTTCCTTTTTCAGGTCCTTGTCCGTTTTGATGGTCAGCATATCTTCTTTAACATCCCAACGTTTTCAAGAACAATTAATGAACAAAACAGAACATCTTTTTGACACAATAGATTCTTCCCAGGTCAACATTGCAAGAAGAATAGTACAGTTTCTTCGAAATATTAAATATAGTTATTACCCATTATTAGAAAGGTGTAATAAAATGTTTTTAAGCAATATGAACAACCTTGATTTGGAGTCAATCAGTAAAATACTTAGTCTATACCACTCTCTACAGTTTCATAGTTTTGAATTTATGTTAATGGCCAAAAAGAGGCTAACTGAAATGATTCCTCTGTTTGATCACCCTGCTAGCTTTGTGAAATTGTTTGTAGCATTGGGACCCATGGCAGGACCTAAAGAAAAGACACAGTAAGTTTAGCTAAAAATGCTTTATTTTTCTGTGGAGAATATAGGGAGTCTTTAAGCTTAAATCTTCCTGCAGCTCTGGAAGGCACGAAAATCAACCCGTTCATCCAGGGAATGGGAAATAATCTTACATGCTCTGTTTCTTGATTCTTTCTCTGTGGTTATTCTAATTCATACTTCAAACTCTTATTCTGCTGTTGTGCTCTGAAATGGGGCCAGTAACCCCCCCCAGTGGTCAGCACAACGGTGGATGCGGGAGAACACCATTTAAGTGTTTTTTATTTTCATTTAGTTTTTCTTTTTTATTGACTTTCTGGGGCCACTTAAATGTTTTTATTCTCCGTTCCTAGGCCATGAGACTGGCTTGAACACAAGTATAAGACTCCCCAACCCAGTGCAGGCTGTGGACTATTGAGAATTATAATATCCATTAACAATGGGCCATTTTTTTGCTTTGGCTTCACATTCATCATCAAAAGCACTTACTGTGCACATTGGCATATATTCTCATGTCAGGCTTCAGTGAATTGGATCTGTCTCCCATATCTGAAGAATTTCCAGTATTTCCAGATACTAATGTAGATAGAAATTTTAAAGATGTACAGATGAGCAAATGCTATGTATATAGCAACTGATATGAGCAAACGCTTAAGTACTATTAGTGGGTTAGTTAATTAGGGGTTCCAGAGAATTGTATAATAGAAGTATCTGCATCATTACTCTGTTAGCCAATACTTCATGGAGAGTTTTATTTTTAAGAATCCTTTGAATTATGTTTGAAGAAATTTAAGGATACAATTTAAGAGACTGTATCAAGGTGAGGTCATAATTATTTTAAAATTTTTTATTGGAGTCTTTTTTTTGTCACTAAGTGTTGTTAAAATCTCATGCTAGTACAAAAGTTGAGTTTAACTGGGTCTCTGCCTTCAAGGACTTGCTAGTCTAATTGGGAGGAGAGAAATATATAATTGAAATATGTAAATACAATGCCACTGCAATATAATTTATGATTAAGTACCATATTAAAATTAGTGATTCAGATAATGAGTGCTGTGGGCAGACAGAAAAGTGAAGAGAATGTGGGCTATGGGGCTGGCAAACGCTGTTGGAAGCTGGGCCTGATGAGGCTGCTGGAAGAGAAGGTGGGGAGTAGTGTGAGCAGAAAATTAGTTGATCCTGCTGTCTCCAGATTTCATGTTTTGAGCTTATCTTCATATTGAAATACTTTTTATTACTACAGTACTTTGGGTGGTTTCAAAATGAGCTATCATTATAATTTTTTAGTTTATAGGGTTATAGCAGCCACTAAGTATATAAGATTTCTGTTAATGTGCAGATATATTGACCTACTCAAATCTTACTCAATTTTTAAAAATTGTGATATTGTTAGAATGTCAGTTAATTCTTTAGCTTTCATACTGAATAATTTCACTGAATTATTGTATTTTTATTACCATTGTAACTTTATCTAATTTGAAAATCAGTTTTAAAAACTTGTCTATTTTTAAAGACAGTTTAAGATTGGATTATACTGAGGCCATAATGATTTTGGAAAAAAAGGATTTTTATTTGATTTTGAAACTATATACATATTTGAATTCAGTTTTACTTTATACTATTTCTTTTCTGTTTGTTACCTAAGGACTGTTACTTAAATTTTTTAATTAATTATCAGTTTTTCAACATAAAAATATTTCTTTTTGCTTCTAGACTTGAATCAACTGTATTACTGATGTCGGAGCAGCTGACCGGCCAGCAGGCCCTGGCCGTGGTGGGAGCGATGGAGGAGATGGAGACCAGAGATTCACGGCTGATCAAAAAGTAGTCCTTCCTGACATTCATGCTGTTAACTTTAGTTGTCATTCATAAGTAGTAGCCATGTTTTTGAGGGAAAATTACATTTTCCCCCCTATAATCTAGCTGTTGGTTTTGCAGAAATAAGGAATTAACACTTAAGGTAGTGTTTATTTTCAGAAAGTTGTTTTTCAAAACAGAGACTTTAAAGTTGTTTATAGCCCTTTTCATTTCATTTGCTGCCGTTGTTATTCTCAAGCAGAGTGTCATAGTCTAGGAAAGTGGAGAGCGTAGAGCAGGACCCTGCTTTTCAAAAGGATAGTTTCTGCTAAACAGTTAACGTGTCTGTGAGCTGGAATTGTTTCACACCACAGCTTTTACCTTGAAATCATTCTACCATATCTGGACTTTTTTGTTAACTTGAAATTTAAGAAGGAGAATTTTCATAGTTCAGTTTAAATATACAGGTTCCAGCAGAAGTAATGGCTGCTAGAGTGTGGTTGGTAGAGTGATGATGTGGGTGTGATAATTTACAGTTGTAATTTGAACATTTCACCTGAAATGTCATATGGTGTGCTTGAATGTGATACTAGTATGTTACAGAGTGACATACTTAAGATTTTGCAATAAGAAGGTTTTGTAATTTAAAAAGGGTGCAATTTGTGCCACACCCTGTATATGTAATTTTCATTATCATCATATATTCCTTTTTATAAATATTCCCCCTGCCCTATTCCTTCAACTTACTGTCTCTTAGCATTTCCCATTGCTTTTAAGCATCTGTATGAGAGGGCCAGTAGATTTAAGGAAGAAAATTAAACCAGTTTTGCTAATTGTTAATAACTGTTGGTAAAGATTTTTGGGGGGGTAGGTTTTGGAATTTGATGGCTCTGTTCTGTGAGATTTTTTAAAAATTTATATTTATTTATTTATTTTTAAATATATTTTATTGATTATGCCATTACAGTTATCCCATTTACCCCCTTCATTCCCCTCTACCCGGCACACCCCCTCCCACCCTCATTCCTCTCTTTTAGTTCATGTCCATGTCATAAGTTCTTTAGTTTCTACATTTCCCACACTACTCTTGTCCTCCCCCTGTTTTCTCCCCACCATCTATGCTACTTATTTTTCGTACCTTCTTCCCCCTTCTCCTCCTCCCACTCCCCTGTTGCTAACCTCTATGTGATCTCCATTTCTGTGGCTCCGCTCCTGATCTAGCTGTCCACTTAGTTTGCTTTTGTTTTAGGTGTGCTTGTTAATAACTGTGAGTTTGCTGTCCTTTCACTGTTCATATTTTTTATCTTCTTTTTCTTAGATAAGTCCCTTTAACATTTCATATAATAAGGGCTTGGTGATGATGAACTCCTTGAACTTGACCTTACCTGAGAAGCGCTTTATCTGCCCTTCCATTCTAAATGAAAGCTTTGCTGCATAGAGTAATCTTGGATGTAGGTCCTTGCCTTTCATGACTTGGAATACTTCTTTCCAGCCCCTTCTTGCCTACAAGTTCTCTTCTGAGAAATCAACTGACAGTCTGATGGGAACTCCTTTGTAGGTTACTGTCTCTTTAGCTCTCGCTGCTTCTAGAATTCTCTCCTTCATTTTAATCTTGGGTAGTGTAATTATTTTGTGCCTTGGTGTGTTCCTTCTTGGGTCCAACTTCTTTGGGACTCTCTGATCTTCCTGGCTTCCTGGAAGTCTATTGCCTTTACCAGATTGGGGAAGTTCTCCTTTATTATTTGTTCAAATAAGTTTTCCATTTCTTGCTCTTGCTCTTCCCCTTCTGGTACCCCTATAATTCAGATGTTGGAACATTTAAAGATGTCCTGGAAGTTCCTAAGCCTCTCCTCATTTTTTTGAATTCTTGTTTCTTCATTCTTTTCTGTTTGGTTGTTTCTTTCTTTTTTCTGGTCCACTCCATTGATTTGAGTCTCAGTTTCCTTTCCATCACTATTGGTTCCCTGTGCATTTCCTTCATTTCACTTAGTGCAGCCTTCATTTGTTCATCTAATTTGTGACTAAAATCAACCAGTTCTGTGAGCATCTGGATCACCAGTGCTTTGAACTGTGCATCTGATAGGTTGGCTGTCTCTTGGTCACTTAAAAGTATTGGCTCTGGGGCTTTGATTTGTTTGTCTGAGCCATAATTTTTTGGTCAGGTTGCGCCTGTTACGAATGAGGGGCAGAGCCTTAGGTGTTCACCAACGCAGGGCAACCCAGTCACTGAGTTGTGATGCTGTATGTGAGGGTGGGTTCAGAGAGGGAACAATGGTACTTGCTTCGCTCTCTGTTGGATTTCAGTCCCCTCTGCCACTTTCCATAAGCAAATTGGGCCCTTTTGGTGCTGGTTCCCTGGGTGGCCTGGCTTGTGTGCGTTCTAGACCCTGTGGGTCTCTCCAGTGAACTCTCCTGTGAGGCTGGAAGTCTCTCCCAGCACCTTTTCAATAGGTAGTTTTAGGCTTTATTTCCCATCTCTGGAGCCCTGGTGTGCGTGGTCTGTCTTGTTGCCCATTTTTGTCTAGTTTATCTGCAATGCGAAGTGTGACCACATTCAGCCCCGTGCTGCCTGTGCTCTTGGGTCTGGCTGCCACCGCCTTTTCCTGCTGTGATCCCTTTCCTCTGGTGGCCGACTGCGCCTCTCTTACCGGTCTGGTTGAATGGTCATCGGATTTCTGCACAGTTCAGTTTTCTGTCTGTTCTGGTTGTGTGTTTGTTTCTAAATCTTTGTTGTCCTTAAATTTGATTGTACGAGGAGGCACAGTGTTTCTACCTACACCTCCATTTTGGCTGGGGGATTTTTTTATTTAGGAAGTAAATCTATGCTTTTCTCTTTTCTTACTGTTAATAATAAATATTTCATTCACAGTTCATTGATAGCTCTTACCTCATTCTACTTTGTTACATTTCTAATAATCTTTTAAAAGTTTATTTTTATTTTTCAGTTACATTCGATATGCAATATTACTAGTTTCAGGTGTACAGCATAATGGTTAGACACATAACTTATGAAGTGGTAATCCCCCTACCCCCGGGGAGAATCTAGTACCACCTGGCAACTTTTCTGTCACCAGTTTGAACAGTTCTTGAAGAACAGAAAACCTTGTCTCATTCATTGCTGTTTCTCTAGCACAGAGCATGTCTAGCGTGGAAGGAGCTCCTCAGTAAATGTTTAATAAATAAATGAATGAATTGGTTATATGTTTTATCATTCTTTTTAGAATTGCTTCAATTCTGCATAAGAATTTGGATAATTATAAACCAGTAGAGTTATTGAAGATAAGTCAAGCATTGATTTCTCTACATTTCCAAAGTAAAGAGTTTTTCATGAAACTTAGAGAATTACTACTTAGGTAAGATTAAAGTAGAATTGTCTGTCGAGTCTTTCATTTATTACCTCATCTTTCAAGTTGTAATCTAGTCTTGTTTAATTTTGTAAAGAGTTGTGGAACTTTTGGAGATAGAATTGGGTAGCTTATTGAAAATGTTGACACTTTTCCCATGCCCATTCATGCCCAATGCTTATACTTGGTATATTTTGAAATGGAAATGAGGCCAGTAAGGTGATGAGTTTCTAGGGCATGAACACTACAAGCCAAGCCGTTCTCTTGCCTGTAGGAATAGAATAATCGTGAAAATATTGGAGCTGCTGAAGAAGGCAGTATGAATTTAGGAACATTCATATTTAGGGGCCTTCAGTCGTCTTGTGTTCTTGCCCGATTTAAGGAAGATGAGTTTTGGTGGTGGGTACATAATGCAATATATACAGATCGTTTATCAAACACATATATTTCAAACCTCTATGATCTTACTGACCAATGTCATTCCAATAAATTTAATTAAAAATTTTAATGTGTAATTTAAAAAATAAGATATATAAAGGGAATGTTAGTGAAAAGGTTTTTTCATACAGAATTTTTCCTTTATAATGTAAAATTCTCTGCTTTTCTATGAATGGAGCATTCATGTTTCAACTAGTTACTCAGTTTTCCATTGACTTTCAAATACTAAAATGGAGTTTTCTGTTTTAAAGATCAGTAATAGCGTCAATGGAATTATATAACTCAGTTTGCTATAGGTATGTTCATAGAAAAAAGTAAGATAGGAGTTGGGAGTGTCGAAGATTTCAGTTCAACCGTAATGTTGCATTTCCTTTATAAAAAGATTGAAGCAAATGTGACAATGTTGAACTTTACTGATTCTTTTTTTTATTTTTAATTTTTTTAAATCCTCATCCTAGGATATGTTTATTGATTTGAGAGAGAGGTAGGAGCAGGGAGAGAAAGAAACATCATTGTGAGAAATGTTAATCAGTTGCCTCCTGTGTGTACCCTGACCTGGGATCAACCCCACAACCTTTCGGTGTGGGGACCAACGCTGCAAGCAACTGAGCCTCCGGGCCAGGGTGAAGTTTAGTAATTCTTTGTAGCGAGAGTCCTTATATATCTGTATAATTTAAATTTTTTCAAAAAATTAGTTGGGAGATGTTATAGAAGATCATAGGTGCTTATGCTTCAGAATTACCTTTCCCCACTTCAGTACAGATTATGTGAAAGCACAAAATCCAACTAAACTAGTTCATGTAAAATTTTATATAAATAGCTTCTGGAACTTAAAAAAATTTTTTTTAAAGATTTTATTTATTTATCTTTAGAGGGGAAGGGAAGGAGGGAGGGAGAGAAACATCAATGTATGGTTGCCTTTTGTGCGACCCAGGCATGTGCTCTGACTGGGAATCGAACCTCAATTGTCTGGTTCACAGGCCTGCGCTCAATCCACTGAGCTACACCAGCCAGGGCTGGAATTTTATATATATATGTGTGTGTGTGTGTGTGTGTGTATGTGTGTGTGTATACATATACATATACATATACATGTATATATATATATATTTTATTTATTTTTAGAGAGGAAGGGAGGGAGAGAGGGAGAAAAACATCAGTATATAGTTGCCTCTCACATGCCCCCTACCGGGGACCTGGCCCACAACCCAGGCATGTGCCCTGACTGGGATTTGAACTGGCGACCCTTTGATTTGTAGGCTGGTGCTCAATCCACTGAGCCACACCAGCCAGGGCCTATTTGTAAATGTTTTTAATGACTGGATATTACCCATCATATGACTACCATAATTCATTTATTTTTCATCACTGGGTAGATTGTTTTCAAATTTTAGCCACATTAAAAATATGATTAATAATATAACACAAGTCTTTGCCTACATTTTAGATTATTTCCTTAGGATAGTTTCCTCAACAGGGATCATGTCAAATGATATACTTACTTGTAAAGTTCTTCAACCCTAGTGTTAAATTACTTTCCAGAAAGGTTATAGCAACTTTAAAGTTTACCAGTAGTGAATGAGAATGCCTGTATCAGTGCACCCTTGCTAGCATTGAATATTGTTTATTTCAATATGCTTATTTACTATTTTAGTAAGTAACTTAATTTTGTTTTAGTTTACATTTGACTATGTCTTATAGTACTTCTAAACCTAAAGATTCTTTAAAAGCTCCCAGTTTTTTATTTGATTTTAACAGCTGCTATCCTGGTGGTAGGAATCTTACCATGGAGGTCTGGGAAAGTCAGAATAAAGAATGGAGTCAGCCCTGGCTGGTGTGGCTCAGTGGATTGAGTGCCAGTCTGCGAACCAAAGGGTCGCCAGTTCCATTCCCAGTTAAGGCACTTGGCTGGGTTGTGGGCCAGGTTCCCATTAGGGGGTGCACAAGAGGAAACCACACATTGATGTTTCTCTCCCTCTTCCTCCCTTCCCCTCTCTCTAAAAAATAAATAAACACAATCTTTTTTTAAATTCAAAAAAAGAGAATGGAGTCAATTGTGTGTGTTTTCTGGGATTTTTCAAGGCTAGACGTCCTGCATAGCAAAAGTAAATTAAGAACCAATATAATTGAGTGATTACTGTATGCCAGTGCCTATCTAGGTACCAGCTCCTGGCAGGTCATACCAGAAATTCTTTAGTCCAAATTCTGTCTCTAGCAACAGCACTGGTAAGAAATATTCTGCTGTTCTGACTTTGACCTTCCGTTTGTAGCTACCGTGGTTTTGTTTTTGCATAAAGAATTTGGCATGTGCTTTAGATTATCTTAGGGCTCCCCTTAGTAACTCTTTATGGACCTGTCATCTTTGAATTAGTTAATCCTTCCTAAATTTACTTGTATTTTGGGCCTATCCCACCTGTGAATTGTAATAATTACATATTCATATTATATGTTACTTGTATATGTTTTGGCTTTTGTTACTGATGTATTAATTTTGTTCTTTTCACTCTCCCTCCTTTCTTTATAGTTACTTGAAAATTAGTGTCAGACCTAGTGAGATTTCCATCCTGGTCTCTGCTATTTCTTTGCTTCCATCTCCTCACCTAGATGAAGCGGTGATATCTCGAATTGAAGCAGTTTTACCACAGTGTGACCTAAATGACCTGAATAGTTTTGCCATGTCTGTTTTGAGATGGATTCAGTATGGTCACGTGTATCTGGATAGTACTACTGGAAAACAGTTGAAACTACTTCAAAAATTAGATCACTACGGTCATCAGAGACTACAAAAACACAACAGTCTGAATCTGTTATGGGAAGAACTTAGATCTTTGAAAGGAGACTGGTTTGTTGAGTCACTTCTTGAAGAAACAGTTGCTACTTTACAGTGTCTGATGGATGAAATTAATTACATGAATGTTGCAGGAATTGCATCCTTTATTGCTAGAAGTAACTACCTCAACACTTCGCTGCTTGATAAGATAGCCTCAGTGGTCCTTCAGCAGATTGAAAAGGTGAATTTGAAACTTCACCCAGTTTTACATAGTTGTTACCTTGTAAAAACATAATTGTTTATCATAAAAACTTTGAGAACTTGATTACAATTTGAAGTTTAGAAATTAAAGTCTAGTTTTTGGTTCAGCAGTTTGTTTCTCTCCTTAAAACCTTTTTCTCCAGCATTGCAGTTATGGGCAGACTGTTAAGATCAGTAGTCAAAATTCATTGATAGAAGGAAGTACTCAAAGCAATACTGGTTGTGTTAGGGTATTAGAGTACGAATGATTTTTGTTTTCCCTTTTCCTTATTTTCTATAATCCTGTGATACCACTTTTACTGTTTAAAAACAATTACATTCAAAAGTGTGGGAGTAGTGTGAAACAGAAAATTATAAGGTATCTACTGACTTCTGTACAGCTGATCCTTGAATAACGTAGGTCAATCCTCATCTAAGTTTTAACTCCCCCAAAACATAATCACTAATAGTCTGTGGTTGACTGGGTAACATAAACAGTTGATTAACACATATTTTGTATGTTATATGTACTATATACTGTATCCTTAAAGTAAGCTAGAGAAAAAATTACAAGGAAGAGAAGGCACATTTACAGTATTTATTGAAGAAAATCTGTGTATAAGTGGATCTGTAGTTCATTCAAAGCTGTGTTTAGGGTCTACTGTATTCTTAAATTGTCAGTGTGTCTTCTTACAAGTTCAATCCTGCAACTTGCTTATAAAACGCTGCCTTTGGGTTAAATGAGAAGCTCACAAAATTTATTATATATATAAGGATAAGTCTTTTACTTAGTATTTCTCTCAAATGAAAATAAAAATGTGTCTTATTTGCTTAGCATATATCTCTTGGTAGTATTGTATGAGTGAATAGTAAAATTAAGTGAGTGAAAGACAAATAAATTCTGGTGATTATAAACTGAGAAACTCCATTAATTACATTATGTAAGCCTATAAAATGCCCTAATATCATATAAGTTAGTGATACTGTTTCCCATTCATTTTTATGACTAGTGAATTTCTAGAGTGGGATTTTATACCTAACAAAACTGATTTGTAAATTATCTGACTTAACTTTTGTTTATAACACTCAGAGTTACTAGAAATTAATGGTAGGGTAGAATATATTTTACCGGGGTAGAAAAATTAGTAAACAGAGTGATACATTCATTTTTTAACTATAGGCATGTTCATTTAACTATAGACATGTTAGAAAAACACTTCTACCTAAAATAATTAGGTAAAAATTCTGTTTTACTGAAGTTTAAACATTTTTGCTCTGTTTGTGCAGATCCATCCTTTTGCAATCTTTGCTATTATTCTGCCATTCAGCATCTTGAACTATGATCCACCCCAAAGGGATGAATTTTTTGGAACGTGCATTCAACACCTTAATCCTTACTTAAGTAGGTATATTGTTTGGTACTAAGTTGAATGAGTAGGTTGGAGGATACTGTTGCCAATATTTCTCATTTAAAGGGTAACTATAATAGCTGTGGGTACTATACCTAAAAAAAGTTTGTATTCATTTTTGAAACTATTATTAAGAGAAATGTTAGTGACAGATAAAATTGAAAGAATGAACAAGAAGCACGTATATACTCACTGGATAGATTTAATAACCATTAACATTTTACCATATTTGCTTTACTGTTTGTCTCTCTTGCTATTTTTTCTGAGGCATTTCAAAGTAAATTACAGGCATTGTGACCCTTCACCTTTAATTACTCAGGCATACACCTTCCTAGGATTAATGAACTTCTATATCAGCACAAATCTGTCATCACAGCTAAGGAAATTAGTATTCTCCTAATATATCGCATGCAGTTAGTGTGTAAATCACCTTCATTATTCCCAAAATACAAAATACTGTGGTTGTTTACCCAGGATCCATTCTAGGTTCACTCATGTGGCTGCTTTTTTTTTTTTTTTTATCTCTTAGAGTCTAGAATATTCTCTGGGGTTTTGGTTTTGGTTTTGATTTTATTTTTTGCTTGAAATTGACTTGGGGGAAAGGTGTTTGTTTTTTTCTAACATTTTCTTACCAAAGCTTTCAAGTATACAGAAGAATTGAAATAACAATCTAATAAACATCCGTATACTGTGTACCCGCAATCTGTCTTTTGAATAGTGACTGACATTTTGCCACATTAGCAGTGTGTGCCTGTGTGTGCACATGCGAGTATGTGTGATGAGCTGTTTGAAGTGTCAGCCTCAAATACTTGAGGTTGTAAGGACATTCAGCATCACACTTAAGAAAATGAACAAGTACCATCTATACCATAATCAAATTCCCCCAAATCTTACCAAACTGCCTTTTATAACCTTTTTCTTAAAGCAACTAATATTGGGTTGTTACATCACTTTCCCCCTATCTATTTTCCTTGGTATTATTTTTTTTAATAAAAGATAATGGCCATCTTTAATAAAAGATTGGCCATAAAAAAGATATTGGCTATTTATTGTGGGTTATTCACATTATTGATTTCTTCAATTGCTTTTTGTTAAAATCTTGCTTCATCTCCAGTATTTCTAGTAAACTAGAAGTTAGGAGTAGATGCTTGATTAGATTCAGATGAAATATTTTTAGCAAAAATGCCTTGTATGTGGTGCTATATATCTAATATTTGTATCACATCTGGAGACACATAATATCTGATTCTTTCTCTCAGTCTTAATAGTTAAGCTGGTGTGAGACCAGAACAAACAAAGGCATTAATTGTATCGGTATCATGCTCATAGACTTTGTTACATTTTTGTGGGATCTCTAGGCCATATAGTGTCTAACCATATCTGATTCTACTGTGTCTGCTAATAGTTTGGTAAATGGGACTATGAAAAGTATGTTTATATATGAGTGAGTGTATGTATGTGTGGCATTTATGTACATTTGTTTTTAGTAACACAACTGTATGTAGAAAGATGAGGCTTCACACTTGGTCTTAGAATATGTTCTCATAGTTCACTTGTGTGTCAGAAGGAAATGAAAGTACACCTCGTCTCATACTATCTAAATAGAGGCTTAGATATTAGATTTTTTTTTAGAATTAAGGGTATAAGATAAAGAAGGTTGAGAAGTACAGCTTGTATTTTTTTGAAAGACTTTACTGAGAGAATGTTTGAAAATTATTGGAGACCTTTATGTGTACAATTTAAAATAACCAATGGCGTAATAATTTATTTTGAATAAATGTTTGTTTTGACAGATCAGCTTTGTTGCTAGAGGTTGTCATTATGAGTAATTTCCTTGTTTACCTTGAGCTTGCTTTATTAAGTAAAGTCAATGAAAAATCCAAAAGAAAATACTTAATTTTGTTTTACTTTGCAAAAATATTGCTGCAACAGGGCGTTCTGGATGACCCCTTCCCTTTCATCAGAAACGTCTCTGGAATGAGGCAAATCAGCTAAATTATCTCAAGCCTTATTCTCTGGGATGCGTGCCCGGCTGGTGGGTGACAGGTCAGGGAGGGGGTGCTAGGACAGATCTGAGCTTCATGCATGTCTGCACTCAGCCTGAGAATCTGAGATCCCCACCAAGAAGCACAGTAGAGTGGTCCAGGCTCCAGGCTGGACTGTCCAGGTTGAATCTCACCCTCCACTTGCTAACCCTGTGACTATGGGCAAGCCATTTAACTTCTGTGTATCTCTGTACACTCATTTGTGAAGTGGACATAGTAACCATTTCTACTCTATACTGAAGGGAGATTTAAATGAGTTAATATTTGCCCTGGCTAGGTAGCTCAGCTGGTCAGAGTGTTGTCCTGATACAAGATTGCAGGTTTGATCTCTGGTCAGGACGTGTACAAGAATCAGCCAGTGAGTGCATCAGTAAGTGGAACAACAAATTGATGTTTCTCTCTCCTTGTCCCTTCCCCCCACCTAAAAAAAAAAAACCCAGTCAATTAAAAATACATTAAATGAGTTAATATTTGTAAAGTGCCTACAGCGATACCTAACACATTCTGAGCACTGTTAGTATTGTCAGTACATAGAGACTGGGATCACTTCTTGTATACACTATTGACCTTCATGTTTGAATTCTTTTTCTTTTCAAGGCAATTGAAAAAAAACTTTTATGAAGTTTCTATAGTAATAAACATTTACTTATCCTTAGCACATAATATGAATTTATACAAATCGAGCCACCCAGGGAATCAGCACACAGACCATGAAACAGAGTATCACCGCAGTAACCTCTGCCAGTTCCCTTCCCTGTTGCACCCCCACCCCGAGGTACCACTTGTACCACTTCACCACCGACAGTATTGCAACAATATAGATTAGTTTTGGCAAGGTTGTATTTGCATCATTTTTTAAAAACCTGGTTTTACCCGAATAAGGTGTTTGTTTATGTCTACGTAAGGTGGCTGTATGTTACAATTTTCTAACACAGTCTTACTTTTGTTTTAGGTATATTGGATCCTCTCATGTTAGTGTTCCTTGGTTTCTCTTTGGCCATACATGAATATTTTCCAGAAGATCTGATAAAGACAATTTTTAACATCAAATTCTTAGGAAGATTGGATTCTCAACTTGAACGTATGTATCTATATTTTATTAAGTTATCATTTGTAGTTTTTACCCAAGTTTCAGCTCTTACATATACTAAAGCACTTAAATGTTGATCTTTTGTTTGCTTTTAGAAGTATTTCCTGCTTGTTGTAGAAAACTTGGAAAACACAGAAAGTAAAAGATTATTCAATCTTAAATCTTACCACCATGCGAAACTACCATTTTTAATGTTTTGAGTGTTTCTTTTCTTCTTTTCTCCTGCTCTTATGTGTATGTTTATGTATCTGCATATTAAAACAGATTTTAGATTGTTTATGTATTCACTTTTATATGTTACCTGTAGTCACTAAAATATATTTTGAATAATTTTCTATGCCATTAAATAGTTTTTGATGTCATGATTTTTTTGTGTGTGCATAACCTGCCATTATATGGATGTAATAAAGTTTATCTGTCTTAGAGGTTGTTATTACAAATAATGATTGTTATACATGAATCACTGACCTCATTTTGGTTCCCTGGAGATAGATTCCTCAATGTGGAATATTAAGTCAGTGAAAATTCTTTGGTAGTATTTTTGAAATGTAGTCTTAAAGTTAGTAATCGGTGGAAACAACATAGGAGTTGGTCCTAACCATGCCTCTGATGTAATAACTGAAAAATGTAAAGTGTGTATGTACAACTGAAATGATTTTATGAGAATAAAAGTATCAGCCAATAATGGGCATAAATATGTGAAAAAATGGATTGTCTTTGCTGCGTCCAAGCCATCAAAATCCATTAATCTATATTTTTATTTCAGTTTTATGTCCATCGCTAAGCACAAGGGTCCAGTTTCGTCTTATGGAATTAAATAGAGCAGTCTGCTTGGAGTGCCCTGAGTATCAGATTCCATGGTTTCATGACCACTTCTGTCAACAGCATTATAACAAAGGTTTGCATTTTCTTTGGGTCAGAAAGTAAAGTTTAATTCTAAAGTAAATTATTATAGTAGGGCATTGTTACTATTTTTAGACCTATGACACCAGAGTTCCCAGCAGTGCCATGACCTGTTTAATGGAACCATTTTGTAAGTGAGATCTGTGTTATAAGAATTTCTTGGTATTTCAGACACAAAACCTCTTGGTAGAGTGCAAAGCACTTGTGTTACACTGCACTTAGTGTCATTGCAAATGCTGTTACATCGAAGCTCGTGTTGGAAATATGACTCTTTATTTTTCACTTTGTAGAACTGGATGATTTTCATTCGGAAACTAATTATGTTAAGTGAACTAATTGTTTTTATTTTCATACAGATATTGGCAGCCTGAATGGAGCACAGCAGCAGATTTATAAAATGTTAGCAGAGGTACTAGGAGGAATCAATTGTGTAAAACCCTCAGTTTTTACACCTTATTACCATACAATAGGTGAGTCTTTAATGATCTCATCAACTGCTTCATCTGCTTCAGTAAAATTCCTACATTCACTGGAATTTTAAAAAGAAAAGTTAAAAAAAATTTTTTCAAGTTATCTTGAAAATTTCCAAAGACATAGAAGTAGAAGACAACAGTGAAGATCCCATGACCCAGCAATTCTCTATTCTTCAAAAAAGTATATTTTAAATTTTTATTTATTATTTTTAGAGGGGAAGGGAGGGAAGGAGGAGAGGGAAACATTAATGTGTCGTTGTCTCTCATGCTGGGGACCTGGCCCACAACCCAGGTGTGTGTCCTGATGGAATAGAACCAGCAAAAAAAAAACTTTTTTAAGGCCAGTCTTTCACCAATTCTAAGTATATAAAACCCAGATTTAGATCCAGTGGACATTTCTGGATCTTCAAGAGATTCTGTCCTTTCCACTCAGTATCCTTGTGTTAGGGAAATTATTTATGTGAATTTCATTGTTCGAAGTTCATCTCAAAAACTGTGTTGGATTATCAGCCTGGATAAGGATCTCTGTAGGCGTGTGCTCAGCTCTAACCTGGTGGTCTTCTTTCTCGGTAGTTGTAGAAGGCATTCTGAGTTAGTTGAGGATGACAGAGCTGATAGGCCAGGTGATACACTTGATGGCAATAAAAGATTTTTTTTAAATGGCAAAGTTCAAGTGCTAAGCATAAATGAAAAAATGAAATTTTAAGAGAATTAACATAAATTTTCTAAAATTAGGTATAGAAAACATCTGCATACACACAGAATATTTTAAAGGATTATAAACTTGATATAAGCTAATAATATAAATGGTTGCCAAATATCAGATACTCCTTTAAACTATATCATTAATAATGACAAGAAAGTTGGCAGTCTTACTGTATTCTGTCCTTCAGACACATCTTAGTATTGTATTCTTGTTCTCAGTGTTGCCTTTTGTGAGAGACAGTGACAAAGAAGGCCTAGAAACAAAGGCCTTGGGAAGAACTAGAGAAGACTGGGGCTGCGTGGGCTTCAGTCCGTGAGCAGGCCCTGAACTAGACCTCTGAACCGTACTAGCTTTTTCACCTGTAAAACGAGGACAGTAACATCTGCTTAATAGGATTAACCAACATATCGCATGAAGAGCATTTAGCACTGCCCTGAGAACGTAGTAAGTGCTCAGTTTTATTTTGGCCCTGGCTCGTGTGGCTCAGTGGATTGAATGCTGGCCTGCAAACCAGCGGGTTGCCATTTTGACTTCAGATCAGAGCACCTACCTGGGTTGTGGGCCGGGTCCCCAGTTGGGGCTCTAAAAATATATAAGTAAAATCTTTTAAAAATTTATTTTAAAAAATAAATAAAATACATTTTATTTTTAAAAAGGTAGGGATATTAGTCTGAAAACAAGTAGTCTTATGGAGAGCATAAAACTGAAAATATTTGAAGGATTGTATATGTTATAGAATTGTACATCTGAAACCTATATAATTTTATTAACCATTATCACCCCAATAAGTTCAATGAAATTAAAAAAATACTCGAAGGATGTTACGTGAAAGAAGTAAGTCTCTCTATCTCAACAAGTACGGTAAAAATTATAGGAAGCAGTTGTGAATTCAGTATATGGATAAGTTTATGAAAGACTTGTTGAAAGTTGGAAATGGGCTGCCGTGTGAAGCAGTGTGTTCAGGCAGCGGCTGGATGATCAGATGATGGTGTGTGTGTGCGTGTGTGTGTGTATGTGATTTCTGTGCTTGGCAGGAGGCTGAACCAGGTTCATCCCTCATCTTGTTCTACAAAACACAGAATCTCAGTTGTTCAGTTTTAAGTTAGGATCAGGTTTGGCTATGAGTGACAAAAATCCAAAGCTAATAGGAATTTAACAAAAATTATTTCCTTCTCCCACACACGGGGTGTCCAGGGCTGGGATGCCAGCTCCACAAACATCAGGGATCCAGGATCCTTCTGTTTTGTTACAGTCTGACATGGGGCTCCCACTTCGTGGTCCAAGATGCCTGCCCCAGTTCCAGCCGACACATTTATAGTCTGAGCAGGAGGAGGAGGAAGAGGGAAGGAAGAAGGGTGTCCCTTGAGTACAGTTCTCTGAAGTTGTACATACCATTTTTAAATTATACCGTGTGGCCACACTTAGTTGCAAGTGAGTTCAGAAAAGGTGGTTTTTACTGTGGGTGGCCCCACACCCAGCTGACAGGCGAGACTCTTTTCAAAAGGAAGAGAAGAATGGGGTGTTGGGCAACAGCCTGCAGTCTCTGCCAGAGGGCTGTTTTAAAAGATAGAGCTCCTCTTGTTTACATCTCTACTGTTTGCCAGATAGACTGTACTCCTATAAAGGTAGTGCTCACAGGAGGAAACACACTAAAATAGGAGTATGAAAAGGATCTGTGACCCCATCTCATACAGTTTAAAATTATTGAGCATCAAATTTGTGACAGGCACGATGGCTGGCTCTTTATCCCCATTACGGCACTTTATTCTTTTTGTTTGTTTGTTTTGTTACTGTTTCTTTCAAACTAGAAATAATACATATCCATTGTAAAACACTTGGCAAATATAGAAACGTGAAAAGCAGAAGTCACTTATAACCTATCCCAAAATCATACATGTAATTAGTATTAAAGCTAGGATTATTACGTCACAAGCCCATTGTTGTTCAGTTGTGATTGTACATCTTGTCAGGAGGTTTACTTTTGTGTAAAACTATATATATCATTAAAAATAAGATTTGATAGGTAATATTTTATATATAAGAATGTGTGTCTTATAAATAAGATAATATGTGGTATAAGTAAGAATTATGGGTTGGAAACATTTTAGGTATTAAAAAAACACTTAAAGTCATATGATACGTGATTATCAGAAAAACGAGACTGGGTAGATTACAAAAATGAAAAATCACCTATGATATGAGCACTGTTTATTTTTTATGTGTTTTTCTATTTCTAACTGACTTTTTAGAAATCAAAAATGGCCTATTTTGTAGTGTCTGTAACTTTCTGTGTGTATATATTGTATATATTTTTCTATGTCAATAGTGATAATACACTATTCTTAATGACTATATAACATTTCATTGAATGCATGTTCTGTAGTTTATATAATTGATACATCAGGGTTTTTTGCTGGCATGTATATCCAACAATGCTGCAATTTTATATAACACACAATAGTAATTGATGTTAGATACTGTCTTAAGTGGATGTTTTTTTGTAAAGATTTTATTTCTCTTTAGAGGGGAAGGGAAGGAGGGAGGGAGAGAAATATCAATGTGTGGTTGCCTCTCCTGCATCCCCCGCTGGGAATTGGCCTGCAACCCAGGCATGTGCCCTGACTGGGAATTGAACCGCGATCTTTTGGTTCTCAGGCCTGCGTTCAATCCACTGAGCTACACCAGCCAGGGCATAAACTTATTCATGTCTCTTCAAGGAACAGCAGTTATTCTATTTTACAGATAAGGCCCAGAGACAGTGTTGTTTTTTCAAGGTTATATAGCTGGCAAATGGGATAGCCAGGATTTGACCTAATCATTCTAGCTACAGAATTGATTCTCTTAATGAGAGAATTATATTTCATAACCTTTAAATATAATATGAATTATATTTCATAACCTTTAAACCTTTCATAGCCTTTAAATTTGAAAAGGCTTCAATTCCCCAGTTTCTCTTGTGTGTAAAAACTAGATAATGAAAGCTACCTTTTCTTTCTTTTCATTCATTGTTTCTTTTTTTTCCTGGTTTAAATACTTTTATGATTGTTTTTATTATGGGAAAATTTCAAACATACAAAAGTGGAGAGAATCAACATTTAGTAGAAATACTTATCAGTGCCCACTCACCACAGTCCCATTTGCCTCTTTTCAAGCAAATCCCAGGTTATTTATCATTTTAGAATGTGTAGCTAAAAAATAAGGCCGGTTTTCTAAAAACTTAACCCCACCACCATCATCACCCCTGCAATAGTTCTGCAGTAGTTTCTCAAGGTCAAGTAGCTTGCTAATGCTCAAATGTCTCAGTTTTCTTTTACTTTATAGTTGATTTGTTAAAAGTAGGGTCCAAACATTGCATTTGGTTATTTGTCTTTTTAAGTTCTATCTTTCTCTCCTTTTTCCTTACAATTTATGTATTGCAATTTCTTAAAAACATTCTGAACTTCTCCAGTTGCAACCCTATGGTGTCATTTCACGTGCTCCAACATCCCCTGTTTTTCCCGTCAAGACAGGAGTTAGATTTAGAGGTTTGATTAGATTCAGGCAAAATTTTTTTTTTGGCCAGACTATTTTTTTAAAGATTTTATTTATTTAACTTTAAAGGGGAAAGGAAGGAGAGAGGGAGAGAAATATCAATGTATGGTTGCCTCTTGTGTGTCCCCCACTGGGAACTGGCCTGCAACCCAGGCATGTGCCCTGACTGAGTATCGAAGCTTGAAACTCTGGTTCACAGGCCCACACTCAATCCACTGAGCTACACCAGCCAGGTGGCCAGATTATTTTTTAAGCGGTATGTACTTTTTATTGCATCATATCAGAAGACACACAAGGCTGGGTGTCTTCCTCTTTATTACATTAAGATCTGTCGGTGGGTTTCTATATCCAGTCAGCTCATCCTTTAGGAGGTTCTCCCACCAGCATTTTACCTGCTGATTTTAGTAGACCTTAAAATCATCGTCTACATCCATGATTCACTGGAGGGGACAAAGTAGTGATATTCTACATCTAACTTTCCTTCTGAATTCACTAGCTAGAATTGGTCCAAAAAGAACTTTCCATATTGACTCTGATATGTACACTTCAGATAGGAAAGATATAGGATACATGCTTGAATCTTTACTTGTTTTCAGATCAGTTGGTGTAGCTCCCTCCAAATGTGACCCACAGAATTAAGAGGATTAGAATAAGACTCTTTCATGTGATTTGACCTAGTCCAGTGCTTAAATATAGCCCCATGCTAAATATAGTTTACTAATACTTGCTGATTTATTTTTATTGACTGATTTTCAAACAGAGGTGCCATTGGACCAGATCTTATAAGTTGGATAATTAGGGAGGTACATCATTCTTTGTGTGTGTGTGTGTCATGCATGTCTGTGTGTGTATTTAAAACGTATCTTGCCCTGGCTGGTGTAGCTCAGTGGATTGAGCACGGGCCTGTGGAGCAAAGGGTTGCTGGTTCAATTCCCGGTCGGGGCACGTGCCTGGGTTGCAGGCCAGGTCCCCGGTGGGGGACACGTGAGAGGCAACCACACATTGATGTTTCTCTCCCACTCTTTCTCCTTCCCTTCCCCTCTCTCTAAAAATTAAAAAAAAAAAAAGAAAACATATCTTAAACTTTTACGATATGAAGAGTTTACCTTCATACTGTTGATTCCTGTACTTACAGATTTTGAATGTATCTTGGATAAAAGAAAAAAACCTCTTCCTTATGGAAGTCATAATATAACTTTGGGGAAAATGCCAGAAATGCGCTGGGAACCAAATGCCCCCAGAGTTGGATCAAATCTGCCACCAGGAACTGAAAGGTAACTTATTTTTAAGTTTCAGATTTTGTTATCTCAATATTGTACTCGAACTCATTTATCAAAGATTTATGGAGTAGAAGAATCTGCTTCTCATCTGTCTCACGCATTCTGCCTCTGTACCTCTGGTTTTCTTTGTGCTTTCGGCCTTAATGGCTGTCCTTTGTTGTCTAAAGTCTAGCATCTCTCTAAGGTGCTAATCTTCTAAGTGACTTCAGCAGAAGCAAATAGTGTCTTTGGAGGCCCCACACCTCTTGGCTTTTCTGATAGCATTTAGCCAGTTACACTGTTACAAAGCTATGTTGCTTTAACTTTGTATTGTTCACTGTGCCTTCTTTACATATGGTAGGTGCAAAGTAAGTGTATATTAAACAGAGAAACAAATGGATGAAAACATGGAAATGCTTAGTATAATTCGCTGTGATTATAATAAATAGGCTTGCCATTACTAATTTAGGTAGAAAATAACTTGATGTACTCATTTATATTCATTTAGCTTTTGTTAGTTTATAAAGGTGCATCCTTGTTGCTGAAAGGGTTATAATCATTGTTTCTCATTCTGACTTTAGAAGTAATTATTTATTTTTATCTTATGTAGAATCGCTTTGGAATTTTTGGATTTAAGAGCTTTTTGTAGAAATGTCCCTCATTTAAAAGGAAAATCTGCTATGAAAAAGCGACATTTGGAAATTTTGGGCTATCGTGTAATTCAGGTATGAGACACTCAGGAAAATCAGCTTCTAAAAGACCTAGGAGACCCTTACCTGTGTATGTGTTTCCTTCTAATGTCAAAGTTCTAGAATTACATCTTTTTTACATTTTAAAAAGTTGTATTAAAATATCTGAAACAAAACATCCACCATTTTTTTAAGAATGGTAAATAAAAATCATCATTTCTTGTCTCTAGAAGATCTGTTTATTTCTGTTTGTACATTTATCTTACCAGATGGATAGAGCTGTAGAGAAAAAGGCCAGGGTATGAAAGTAGGGGAGGCACCCATAAAAACTGTCCGCTAGTGGTATTATAGGGAGCTATGAGGCAGAAGAAGGTCTTCCGGGCTTTGTCAGGAAGAAGGACCCACTTGGATTCCAAAAAGGGTTCAAAGGCTTATGTTTATGTAAACTAATTTCATAGGGTTCCTACAGCTGAGCTCAGTAGTGCTTAGAAGTCTTTCCTTATGTTTTTTTTGTTGTTGCCTTAAAATTTCCATTTACACTGCATTATTTGTTTTACAGATCCCTCATTTTGAATGGAACTCTATGGTACTGTCGACAAAGGGTGCTCGGATGGACTACCTGCGAGAACGTATATTTGGAGATGGAAAATCATGATTGTAATTTTTATTTAAACAGTTACCATGGTGTGTCTGTCACATATGATCTTATTTCTTTTTTTTACATATGATCTTATTTTAATTAAATCACCTGACTCAGTTAAATACTAATATAGAATTGACTGGTTTCAAGGTTAGTTGAATCCCTATTAAAATAAATAGACATTTTACAGTAGAATACCATCTCTACTGTCTTGTTGGAAAACTGTTTAAAATTCTTACTGTAAAAAACATGTAGGTTTTAAGAAACTTAAATAGTTTACAACTCATCTTTGAGTACATACTGTGTGCCAGGAGAATACAGCAGTGACTATACTATATCTACCAGGGGTGGAGTCAGACAAAATACATGATATTAAGGGCTATAGAAAAGAATTCAGAAGGGGGTGTAAGAATATTGTGGGGGCTTTAATTTTAAATAGGGTGATCTGGAAAAGACGAGGTTATCATTTGATGAAGACTTAAGGAGGTGAAGCTATTTGGGGGTAGAGTACTCCAGGCAGAGGGATGAGTAGGTGCAAAGGTTCTGAGGTACGGATATGCCTGGCATGTTTGAAAATAATAGGAGTCTGTTGTGGCTAGAACAGAACAAGTGGGTTGGAAACATATTAAGAGACAAGTCAAACTTAAATGCTCTCATGGCTACTCTGAGATAAGAGGCCATTGGAGAATTTCTAGCAAAAGAATAAAGAACTCACATTTTAACTGGATCACTTTGACCACTCTGTTGAGATGAGAAAAGACTGCAGTGGTGAAGGTGGATAAGCAGGGAAACCCATGAAAAGGTCATTGCCGTGATCCAGACAGGAAATGGGTGGTGGCTTGGACAGAGTGGTGGCAGTGGAGGTAATGAGAAGTGGTCGTATTTTTAAATGTATTTTGGAGGTAGAGGCAACAGAATTCGCTCAGTGATTGGCTATGAAATATGAAAAAATGGGGTTAAGATAGTTCTATGTTTTTGTCCTGAGCAACCAAAAAGATGACATTGCCGTCGACCAAGATGGGGAGGTCCACGGGGAGAGGGAGGTGGGACGTGGTGGTGGTGGTGAGGGTTACAAGTTTGGTTTTAGACATGGGGAGTTTGTGGTGCTTTTGAAATATCTAAGTGGAGATGTGAAATAGGCACTTTAGTAAGTGAGTTCGGAGGTGAGGGGAGAGGTCCAGACTCCAGAATTTGGAAGTTGTCAGTAGTATTTAATGTGATGAAACTAGAAGTCACTAAAAAGCAGTTAGAGGACAGTGTGAATGAGGGACAGGTCTGAGGACTGAGCTCCGGGGGCTGCGACACGAAGAGGTCAAGAACAGGGTCAAGGAGAAGCACAGGAGACTGGACAGGATGGCCAGTGAGGCGGGAGAAGAAGTCGTAGGTAGTATTACTTCGTAGAAGCCAAGTGGAGAAAGCATTTCAAGGAGGAGGAGGTGAGCAGTTCTAGGAGATGCTGCTGAAAGGCCAGGTGAGATGAGGACTGGGAAATCTGCATTACATTCAGCAATATGAGAACATCACTGGTAACCGAAGAGTCCTTTCGATGAAGTGGGGAATTTGAAAGCCTGACTGGTTCAAGAGAAAGGAGGAGGAGACAAGATTTTCTTATAAATGGAAATAGGTGATAGGTGAGGGGAAGTGGTCCAATCTAGACTTGGAATGATCCTTCAAATACTGAGGAGGAAGATTCCATTTTCTCTTTGTCTTACAACACATTGATTCAATAAAATAGTTACTGAGGGCCTACTATGTGAATAATCCCTAACTCTTCCAAGACTGGTATATATGTGCTCAGCAGAAAGACACCTGGGGGGGTGCAGGTAACTGTCCATCTGAAGTGTGTTATCGTCTTGACCCTCTGAATTCATTCTGTCTCAAAATAAGTTGGTAGCTAGAGGGCCTTACTTCTTAACTGTAGTTTACAAGTGTTTTCTGTATGAAAATTGCTACACTGATATTTAGTGTAGGTTTAAAGTGCTTGTTTAAAATATCCAATTTATCTTTTATTTACTGACTGTTCTGATTCTGTTTTCCACAAAAGGTTGTGGAAAGGTTGCATGACTTAAGCCCCAGTTCTTCATGATTTTGTAAAATGTGAACTTCACATAACCTTTTGTGGAAAACAGAATCAGAATAGTCAGTAAATAAAAGATATCTCTCCTTACTCTCCCTAATTCTGAATTTCCTCACGATATTCATTCCTATTACCTGATATGCTGAATGCTATTATCTATTTTATGAATGTGTCCTATTTCCCAAGCCAATGATTACCAGAACTAAACCTCTGAACAGGTATTTTATTATGTAACTTTTAGAATGAAATGATTAGACTGGTGAGGGTTATAAATGAGAATGAGGGGAGTTATAAATTGGGTGTAAATAAAATCCCAGATATTGTATATTTTAGATACATAGAAACCTTGATTAAATGACCCTGATATGCTTCCTACTTACTGTTATACATAATCTGAATTTTCGTGTACCACATCTCTTCCTCTCCCTTCTCTAGGCTGCCAGATTCAGGTGGTATGTGTGTGTGTATATATATATTTGTATTTATTTATATTTTTGATGACTTTTCTGTCTAAATAACTGGAGTTGTTATAAACAAAAGCATTTTAGTCATTGAGGTATAATGCACATACCATAAAATCCGCCGTTTCGAAGTGCACAGTTCTGTGGTTTTTCGCACACTCACAAGGCTGTGCCGCCAGCAGCACCCTCACCCAGTCCCAGAACATTCTCACCATCCCGAAGCGTTATCTTTACAACCGAATCTCATGTCGCGTCACTCAGCCCTCTCCCAGTCATAGAATACTCCCCATTGGTCCCAAGTCAGGTTTCTCAGAACATGACGTGTGTCAGGGGAGACACGAAACAAGTCCGGGAAAGCACGTGAGGCCCATAAGCAGTGGTTAGTTGATGATTGGGGTTGAATGTGATGATCATGGACAGACCTCAAGTCAACTTGCTATGTATAGGATGGGGCAAAAGTAGGTTTACAGTTGTATGTGAAATAGTTTATTATTGTATTAGTATTTATTAATTACTGTATTATTTTCCATGCAACCAACTGTAAACCTACTTCTGCCCTATTCTGTTGTATACACTAAAAACAAACAGTGTGAATGTAAGGGTCTTATGTACCAGAAAATGGAATAATGCAGTCACCTTTCTTTTAGAAATTTGCAAATAGCTCTTTCTTGCCAAATATAGATAAACCAAGTATAGATAAAAATAATGAATACACTCCATCCTCCAAACCACCCACCACCTCACTTCTGCCGCTGCAGTTTCAGGCCGGCCACTCCCCTGCTCTCCCAGCACTGATACTTTAGTTAATGGGTTGAAAACTGTTTGGCTGCTTTTAAACTGGAAAAAAAAAAAAGAATTTATTTAAAGTACAAACAGTATACCAATGTCAGGAAAAGAATGGAGAAAAAAAAGACCACTTGAATTTGACTGCTTTTAGACAGACCCATTCAAATGAGACCCATTAATTATACTCCTTAAATAGCATTTCTAAAGTCTAATGGCATGGAATCTTTACTACGATACACAGAATTCTTGTCATTTTGGGGCATGAGGGAAGGCTTTGATGTTTTAAACATTTTAAAAAATGTAGATGAACATAGTTCCTTCTTCAATTTCATTTGTAATAGAAAGAAAATGTGTAAAGTGACCCTACCAATGCAAATGAAAGGATTCACAACTCGAACTTAGGAACCTGCTTTACGATTAATTGAGACATCTCAAAACAAATGATCTGTTAAAGTTAATATTTAATTTCTCATTAGAAAATGGTTTTAAGCTCTGATCATTACATTGAGGATTCAGGGACTTTGAGGTTTTGATACCCACTGCTAACCTCTTGGACAGTAACTTATTAAATAATTTCTACATGAATCTCTATAGGCTTTTAAAAAACAATAAATAAAGCCCTATTATCCAAACAAACCACCTCCCAATCTATTGCATTTTTCACCTTCTTGTTTATAGCTTAGACAGTTTGAAGAGATTTAAACGTGTAGCGAGGCAACTAGCTCCTGAAGCATAACGTATTTCCTTCAACATCCCAGCCCATTCCTTTTTATCATCTTCATACCTGTGGAGAAAAACAGTAATCAATAGCAGGTTTTATGTGGATAGTTCTTTATGTGTCAAATATACAAATGTGGATCTTTGAGAAACCCTACTGGTCCTCAGCCAGATGAGGATGCCCCTGTCTGCGGGAGAATAACTCCAAGTACGCATCCTTTGAGTGATGCCTGGATGCTTAGGCAGTTAAGCTCCCTCTGGGAATTAGAGACAGTCCAGAGATGAGGAGTGATACATAGGCAATTAATCATTCTCTTTTGGATTAATAAATGTGGCTGGTCTTTATGAGTCACAGCCAACAGGCTCTATCTTAAGAATTGGGACGAGCTGGTCCTGTTAGTTACCTTGATTATCATTTCAGTTGTTCTCACACACTAGTGCCCAGCACAGAACCTGACAGTAGTGGTCACTCTATAAAAATCCATTTTCCTTCCCCCTTACTGTTCTGTGAGTACTACTCTTAGCCTGCACTTGACATTAGGTAAGATCTGGTTGTCCCCTTTGGGTATTCAGGGTCATAAAGATAACAGATGACTTGGATTCCTTTGAAAGGTGTGCCTCTCTTATGCCTAGTGCCCGAAGTGCTCCTTTTCCTTTGCATGAGAAACTCCTAATGCTGCTTTCTTTCTAAAGCCTTTCTTGCCTTCGTCAGAGTTTGTTGTTTTCTCTTTATGTCTCACATCGTCCCTTATATAGTATCTATTATAGCAATTACTCTTTTTTTAAAGTACTTATTTTTAGAGAGAGGGGGAGGGAGGGAGAAAGAAAGGAAGAGAAACATTGATGTATGAGAGAAACATCGATCAATTGGCTCTTCTATACCCCCAGCTGGGAACCTGGCCCACAACCCAGGCATGTGCCTTGGCCAGGAATGGAACTGGCCACCTTTTGGTTGGCAGGTCAGTGCCGCAATTACTCTGTTTTAATTTCCCCCCTATGTTACGTCCTCAACAAGCTCAAAGGTATTTGAGGACAAATAATACATCTTAAGCATCTTATTTGCTCTTCCAGAAGTAGTCATTACTTAGCATAAGGGAATAACCCAAGTTATTTTATGATGAATGAGATTTAAATTTTGCTGATACCTATATAAGAGATGGATTATCTGAGTTTCTTCAGCCGTCCAAATACACTGTATTTTGCCATGTATAATGCACACTTTTTTGCCCAAATTTTTGAGGGAAAAATAAGGATGTGCATTATACATGGGTATAATGATTACATACCATGGGCATAATAATTCTGTGTATAATGCGCACAAAAACCATGGGTGTGCATTATACACCATGAAATATGGGTAATTCTCAACAGTTGCACTGTGCCCTGAGTGATTTTTATGTGGAGAAAAGTAGGCAAAAAATATTTTACTACTAATAAAGGGAAGAACCTTAATTATCTAAACAAAATTTGGGCCAGCATATTAACAGATAACATTTTCAATGACCTAATGAAAAAGTGAGCACATTGAAGCAACAGGAGGTTGAGGTTAAATGAGGCTGAAAAGGTTTGTTCCCTGGCAGTGACAGTTCGACTTCCAGGTTGGCCGATCCTGAGTAATGCAGTGACTTCGAGAATAAATAGAGAAATTAATTTTTAACACGTTAACAGTGAGAGGGTTCATACATCTAGAATGTGGTATACTGATTGTTTTCATCTCTTCTTACATCTCTGCATGTGTGAATATTCACTTGGAAGCTGAGAGCAAGCAGGCAGCCACTTTTCCATTGATCAGTGGCTTTCAACCAACTCAGACAGGTCGCTGGGCCACACCTGCACACTTCGAGTAGGTCTGAGGTGAGGCCTGAGAATTTGCATATTGGACGAATACCCAGGTGCTGCTGATGCTACTTTGAGAACCAGTGCTGATCACTGGTTCTCGAATTTGGCTGCCCATTGGAACCACTTGGGGACATTAGAAATATTGATGCGTGGGTTCCAACCCCGAGATTGAATTATTGGTATTGGAGTATGGCCTGGATATGAGGATTTTGAAAAAGTTCCCTGTGATTCTAATAAACAGCAAGGTTTGAGAATCACTGTTCTAGATGGTATTACCCAAGTGGAAAATGACAGTACCTAAGTTTAAAATTTTACAGCCAAGCAGATAATAATGAATGCCCCTCTTGCCTTTCCCCAGTCCAGTGGTTCCCAAACTTGGCACATTAGACTCATCCGGGGATCTTTGAAAGATTCAAAGCCCAGACCACACCTGAGGCCAATTAAGTCACAGTCAATAGAGATGTGACAGAGTGTCAATATTTTTGATGCTCCCTCGGTGATTCCAGTGAGGAAGCAAGTTTGGGAACCACTGCCCTGATTGTAAAATAAACCATAATCAGAGCAGATCCCTCTTCCAGACTCCCCTCAGCAGTACCAGGGCTACTCGTAGTAGGAGATGCTGCCTGCAACTTCCTCCTGCTGAAGCAGCTTGGCTTTTGACCATTAGGAGCCAGAGTGGCTCATGTTGAGTTCAGCTTGTGATGGCAACACATTAGAATCACCTGGGAAGATTTTAGGACCTAGTGATGCCCAGGCCCTACCTCCAGAAACTCCAATTTCGAATTGTTCTATATTAAGGCCCAGTTACCAGAATATTTTAAAAGCATCCCAACTGATTTTAATGTGCAGCCTGGGTTCAGAATCGCTACCTATTCATTCTTCGTTCCTACCCCTAACCTTTCCAACCATTCATTATTCCATCCTTTTTTCCTATTGCTTCTAGACTTCCCCCATCTCACCCTCTTGCTAAGTCAAGCCTTTTTCTTTCCTGGGAATCTTCAGTTTCTCTTCCTTTTTTGGGGCAGTGGGGGTGGGAGGGGTAATAGTTCGCTTCCTCTTATAGCCACTTTTTTCTTTCTCTGTACACAGCTAGTTGCTATTACAACAATGTAAGGAAATGATGGATGTACAAAATGTTTGGTTAAGCTACTGGCCTTTTAGCCTTCCAGTTCGCCAGCTCAGAGGAAGGCATGCACTTGTCCAGGTATAGAACAAACAATATCCACTTTCACTTTCAGACTTAGTGGTATGCCCTCACTGATCACTCTAACATAGCTGTATCTATAGACTTAAACTTGTAAGTAAATCACCTGGGAATCTCATTAAAATGCAGATTCAGGTTAAGTCTGGGTGGGGCCTGAGATTCAGCATTTCTAAGGAGCTTCCAGGAGATGCCAACACTTTGAGTCTTAATGCTCTGGACAACCTGACGACAGGCCAGGGAAGGGCATCCGGACCTGGGAGAAAGAACTGGCCTGCAAGCTGAGAGGGAAAGCACAGATGTGGCAGTGTCTGGATGGGGGTGCAGCATGAACTCACGTAGGTTCACCTCAGGCAACTGATATCTGCTTCCTGTAAACTGAGATCAGCAAGCACAGCACCTCGGTGGGAGGCAGCAGGTGCCATTCAGCAGGCACACGGTTTCCTGATGGTGACCAGACACATAAACCCTATTCACCCTGCCTCTGACTTACGTGACTCTGCATGACACAACTTACACTTATCTGGTAGGGGAAGTGGATTGCTACGTTTTGCTTTTTTTCATTTTAAAAAAGTTTTTGTAACTTCTCAAAAAATTGTGAAACCATTTAAATTAGATTTAAAATAAAATTAATGAATTTATGGAAGGCTCAGGAGCTTAAATATTCCTTCAGAACTCTGTTTTCTTAGGAAATTAAAGTACTGTCTGGTAGAAAGGTAGGTGGTTTGGAAGTAGGCTTTTTACACTATGGATGCCTAGAGCATTGCACTTGCAGAGCTGGAATGGAGCTTAAAGGGTCCACAGTCCAATTCTCATTGAATTAATGAACAGGTCCAGGTAAGTTCTTTTCCAAGGTCACAGCTCATCAGAAGCAGCATAGGATTTAGTAAGTGGCACATGTAACAGTTCAATGAGTTTCCAAGGGTGTACCACCAATACATAGCTGACATGTTGGGAAAATCTGGTTTACTGTTTACTTAAAAATTGTTTACTTTATCAATGATCACTTACTCATTTGATATTTAGTTCAGAAAATCTGAGTGAAGGAAACTTACTTCCATATGTCATTGACTTCAGTGGGTGCAAACTCTTTGGACTCCAGCTGAATCATGGCAAACCCACCAATGGCATACAGGGATCCGGCCAGATCGACCAGACTGATGGAACTTCGTTCTTGGGGAAATTCGGCCATTATGTCCCATCTAGGAATTATTGAGAATCTAGTCAATGTGAAACTTAAAGAAATGCCAAATACCGACCAGTTGTAGGTAATTATAATAAATTCAGGTAGCATAGGCACCCAAAATTAGAAGGTTAAGTTTGCTACTGGAAAATATCTAAATATTATTCCTTTATTTGAAAGATGCAACCAGATTTGCTACAAAGCTCTCGATATGACAAAACTAGTTACAAAAACAGTATATGTATATTGTAGAAAATATGGGAAATACAAAATGTATAGAAGAAAGCAAATATTCCCTGTGATAATACTGCCCAGAAATAAACATAAATAACATCTTAGTGTCATTTTGTCATTTTTATAAGAGCATACATTTAAATATAAACATCTAACCATACATATGAACAAAACTAAGAAAATATTTATGATTCTGTGTGTGGCTTCTTTAACTTCCTATATCATAAGTTTACCCATAATATATAGTTTTCAAAACATGATTTTTAATGATTGTTCAAGTCCTCTTTATAGAAGTTCCTCGTATTATAATTTTCAGATAATCAGACATATAGGGTTTAGTTGAAAAATAATAACAGCATTCCAATTTTCCCCACTGCTAAACTAGGAGTATAAAAAATATAATTCAGATGTGTGAGCTCAAAATTTTGAAAAAGACTAATTTTATGTAAATATCAAATATCTTTTTATATTGAGTTTACTGGGGTGACATTGGTTAATAAGATTATGTAGGCTCCAGGTGTACAGTCCTGTAATACATCCTCTGTATACTCAGCACCCCAGTCAAGTCTCCTTCCACCCGCATTCATCCCCCCATTTGCTGTCTTCTACCTCCCCCACTCCCTCAAATATCTTTTCACATGAACTTTAAGCCAATAAAAGCTTAAAAGTGAAAATCTTAAGAATATTATAAGACATAAAAAGTTAAACTGAAGCATTCTCGCTTTACAAACATCACAAGCTAAGATGGCGGTCTTTTCATCCTTAAACTAACTTTCAAATCAGATTACGGAGGCATGTTGTCTCCCTACGTGTAGATAATTGCTCAGAAGTGTTACCTTTGCATGACTGAATTCACAAGGTTAGTAACAAGTACACATCAAGCACTCCAACGTTCCCTGGAAGGTCATGTGCTCCAGGTACAAACATGCAGTGCAGCAAAAGGCGAGGCATTTTTACACCCAGCAACAGGAAAACAAACCCAGATGAAGACATTTCCTCTTTGCTCCTTACCTCTATGTCCTCCTTTCCTCATGTCCTAATTAGAAAGCTTAATATTTATCCAAAATTAAGGTGTACAGTGATTTCTATGCTGCAGTAAGATACTGTAACTCACTTATTGGTCGTGAGGTCCAGAGCTTCAACCGAAGCCGACAGACCGTCTTCGGTGACGCCCCCCGCAACCACGATTTTGCCTTTGTGGACTGCGACTCCGAACATCGAGCGGGGCGTTTTCATCGGAGGCATGTCTTTCCAGTCTCCTTTTTTGGGGTTGTAGATAAACACTCTGTTCGTACACTTTCTGTAGACATAAAAGGCAACAAAATGGTCCTTTTAGAGCCATTTTTTTTAAAAAATCCTCACCTGAGTATATATTCTTACTGATATTTAGGGAAAAGAAGAGAAAGAGAGAAACGTGGATTGGTTGCCTCCCAAACTCGAGGATCAAATCTGCAACCCAGACACGTGCCCTGACCAGTGATCGAACCCACAACATTTCAGTGCACAGAAGGACAACACTCCAACACCTGAGCCACCTGGCCAGGGCCAACCTTCCTTTTTTGAAAGAAGCAACTTCGCCAGTCATCTAGCTTTGCTTCTCATACGAAATATGTAGTATAGCAGAGGATCAAAAAAAAAAAAAACCCAAAGTATTCTTTTTAAAAACTTATTTTTCCTTTTTATTGAATTTATTGGTATGATACTGGTTAACCCTAAAGTATTCTTTCTAAAGATTTTTAAATTTTTATTTTGAAGGAGAGAGGAAGGGAGGAAGAAAGAGAGGGAGAGAAAACACTACCGTGCCAGATGGATCAGTTGCCTCTCACATGCCCCCAACCTGGGACCTGGCCCACAGCCCAGACATGTGCTCTGACTGGGAATTGAACCAGCAAACTTGAGGTTCGTGGGACAGTGCTCAACCCACTAACTCACACCAGTTAGGGCCGTTAAAATGTTCTTAATCTGAACATATGCCACCAAGCAAAGGAATAGTTTCAAATGTGAGGACCAAAACTATTTTATAACTTCATTATACTACTGGAAAGTAGGGTACTTTTATTTTGGCAACTGCCTAAAAACCCATGCAAAGTAGATTTTAATCCTGTTACTAAATTTAATGGAAGACATGCATAGAGAAAAAAAGATTAACTATTTATTGTGCCTCAGTAACAAAAATGTTTAATTATCTGAATATCCTAGGAATTAATCAATTTACTTAAAAATAACTAGATGAGAATGTGCCAATTTTAAATTTAACTATGTAATATGATGGCTCATTTCATTTTAGTCTACCATTAATATCACAGTGTATTTTAAGAACTCTGGGACTACAGGTGAGACAATGAGAACAGTTTCATATGCTGAATGCTACCAGAAAAACCTGGGCTCATCTGGATTCTTTATTTAAAAAAATTTTTTTAAAGATTTTATTTATCTTTAGAGGGAAAGGGAAGGAGAGAGGAAGGAGAGAGGAAGAGAAATATCAATGTGTGGTTGCCTCTTGTGTGTCCCCTGCTAAGAACTGGCCTGCAACCCAGGCATGTGCCCTGACTGGGAATTGAACCTCAATCCTTGGGTTCACAGGCCCGTGCTCAATCCACTGTGAATTATTATTCTTAGCATGTTCCTTATGTTTCCTTAAAATTATCCATAATTCACTGAATTCTAAATAGTAAGTGATTAACTGGATGTATTTGGTAAAGCCGAAAAGCAAACAAATAAAACTCTAGTTTTTTTGTGAGGACAGTTTCTTTTTTCTTTAGTCATATAAAAGACCAGATACCTGAAGTAGAAGCATTTTGTCTAATATTTGACTATGTGTATTACTCTAAAACTTCTTGATTAGAACATGATACAAAGCCATGTTTCTCACATTCAGTGGTGATAACTAGTGCAATTCGGTGCTAACTTTCACTTATTTTTTAAAGATTTTATCTATTTATTTAGAGAGGGGGGAAGAGAAGGAGAAAGAGAGTATGAGAACCACTCAGTGTGTGATTGCCTCTTGCATGCTCCTCCCTACTGGGGACCTGGCCTGCAACCCAGGCATATGCTCTGACTGGGAATCAAACCAGTGACCCTTTGGTTCGCAGCCCAGTGCTCAGTCCACTGAGCCACACCAGCCAGGGCCCAGTGCTTATTTTTAGATAATGACTCAATTTAAAGTTCTTAACTTCGGCATTTGTCGAGCAATGTCTTGGTTAATCATATTCTCAAGATTAATATATTCTTACTGACAAGACCTGTATGCTTCTTACTGACATATCAATTTCCTACTTACTAATACTACTTGAAGGAAACAATTTAAATCATTTGGCAGGGTCATTATGTTTCCAAATCAGAAGCTGCTTAATAGACTTTCCATTTCATTTACTCAGGAAAAAATGCCCAATGCAAGATATTTTTTTGCTACAGAACTTTTATATCACAGGTAGTAGATTTGACATTTAATCTTGAACAGAAATTTTGGTCCTCCAAAAATGATTTTACATTGAGTGAATTTATAATATGGACTTTTTAAATATTCATTTGATGATAATATCTAAGGGATTAAGGATTTCAACATTTCAGAATATTATCTTTGAATGTTAAACTATTGTATAAAAACTCATTGCTTTTTCAATCACATTTTCTGTACTGTCTTTGTCATTGTAACTGAATACTAATCATTAATTACTAACTCCAAAAAATAGAGTTCTTTACTTCTAGCACATTTCTGTTTTACTCTCCTTTCCTGTTTTGCCCTTATAATCTTTAATTCTGGCTCCCTTTCCAGGATGGGGTATCTCTATTAATTAACCTGGAAAAATGACGACAAGCCCAGTTAGAATTTTCAGGGACAGGAAATTAGTTCTCACTATTCGAACTTAAAATCTTCATTTTATTAGACAGGCTAACAGCTTAGCTGATTGACTTCTAGAGTACTCTGAACTCAGTTCTCCCTTCAAGTTATATTTTTCTTAATTACTGATCCCTTGAGAAGTGTCCAGAAATCAAATTGGGTTTATATATGAAAGTTCATCCTGTTTTTGTCACAAGCAACTGGGCACTAGTGGAAATACCAAGGTTATATATATTTTGAAAACCCCCTCTGCCCAGGAGTAAAGAAGTGAAACACTGCCGAAGAAATAACTGTCCTATTTTCAGTCGCCATGCTTTTCTGTTTTAAATGCACCTATCTCAATTCTCTAAATGTAAAGTACAAATCCATTTTTTGTGTGTTTATTTTTTTAAATTTTATTTAGTTATTTTCCAAGTATAGTTTTTTGTCTATTTCTCCCATCCCAGCGCCCCCGCCCCTTGCTCCCCACCTCCCTCCCATTTCCACCCCTCTTAGTTCTCGTCCCTGTGTCCTTCCTATTTGTTCCTCCAAATCCTTCCCCTTAAATTCCCTTCCCTCTCCCCTCTGGTCACTGTCCCCTTGCTTTTTATGCCTTATTGTTAGTAATTATAAATACTAAGTTAAAAGATATACTTATAACTAAATAAATTTTTTAAATCCCATTGGTTTTCATGTAAAATATAGTTATAAATTAACTAAAAAAAAATACTTGATTTTGTTCCTAAATGCTGTTTTTCTACTGTCGAGAATGCTTATGTTGGCAGTAATATGAACTCATTTATAATATACTGCAATAACTTCTCAAAATTTTATTTAAAAAATTATGGGTGAAAAAGAACCAAGTTCTATTTTGTTATGTAGATTTAAATGAAAAGAGGAAGGAATGCTTTTAACAAAAACCCGTCGGGATATACAGCGCAAGGAGATTTCAGGGAACTTACTTGTCATCTGTCTTCCCTCCTAGGCAATATATCATCCCCTTATGTGAAACCACATTATGGCCATAGACTTTGATAGGAAGTTTCTTCACTTCGTTCCATTTTGTAGCCCTAAAATCAGAAGAGGATAGAATTCATATGTTTTCAATAAATTCCAGATTCTAATAGTAGGAACGTTATAGACACGCATACACCTGAATGCTTAAGAAATGAGAATGTTGATGCCAACTCACACAGGGTCGTAGCATAGCACCGAATCCAGGGAAGCCTCAGTCTGAAGGTCCTTGCCCGCAACCACGTAGATCTTGTCATCCGCCTCCCCCAGACCGAACAGACACCTCGCCGAAGGCAGGGGGGGGAGCCCCACCCACTCGGACGCCACGTTATCGAGCTGGAAGAAAGGACACACGAGGAAATGTGGAGCTTGTACCAGAAACTATGCTGCACTTCGTGTTGTTTAGAATTCATTCATAGTCAAGGATCTTACAAGTCAAATAAAACCGTAACCCGAAAGTATTATATTTTACCCAGAATTACCTGGAAAAATGAGAAAATCTACTTGGTGTGCTGAAATAGCAGAAAGTACTAAAATGTGCAGGACTTCAAGAGAGGAAGGAGAATGAAATGGTCACAAGAGGTTAGTTAGAACTGCGAAGTTTTTGTCAAATTAATTCTTCCCACGTTTCCTTGTTCAGGTTTGAACAAGGAATCATAATGCTTTCAGGCCACTGGGGAAAGAGAGGTTTTCACCGCAGGGCGGGTCACAGTATGAATGACCCTCTCGTGCTATATTTAACCTGCTCCCCGCGGGCATCCGGGGCAGCTGGGCCTGTCGCTCAGTCCGCAGACGACTGACGCGTTAGGCGGTATTTTCTTGCCTTCAAAAATTCTTAGATTTGCTTTATTACCTTATGATACAGGCAGGTGGTATAGCCTATCCCCTCCTAGCCTTTTGTTGACAGACTTTGCTGTCCCACTTATTTATGCACTCATGGGTTGATTCTTGTATGTGCCCTGACTGGGAATGAAACGTGCAACCTGAGACATATCAGGACGATGCTCTAACCAACTAAGCTACCTTGTCAGGGCCTACCCTGCTCTTTTAAAAAATATTTATATTAAGAAGCAACTTTGCTTATTTGTGCGGCTGCCACTTCTGCAAGCCTAAGACAGCCCTCTAAGTGCCCATGCCCTGGGGCAGGTGATTCTGGCGTGTCTGACATCAGTTTCAGCTTACTACTATTATTACAACTTACTATTGGTAATTTTAATACGTTCCACTTTGCATTTAGGACACCAAGGCACAAGAAAACCACTGTCTGCGGGGAGCATAGTCACAGATTGTTCATGCTCTCTAGTGCTACTTCTATATAAAAGAAGAAAAAGGAGTAAACCCAGAATTATCAGATACCAAGGATAGACGCAGGTATTAAAGGCTGAGGTACAGGAGGGGTCCCTGCGGAAGCCTGTCTGTATCTGTTCTAGTGACCTTGGTTAAAGCAAAGCACTGTTTAAGACTAGATGAGATGAGTGGTTTAATTATTAGCTTTGCATTTACTAATTTTAATATCTGGACTGTGATCGCTAATGTTTTCATTTTTGAATAAAATCCTTTTATCAAGAAAGTGCTGTGTAGTATAGCAGAAATAAAAATGAACATGTATGGGTTTTGACTCTGTGACAGGGATCATGCTACACGCCTCACACGGGTGGTCTCACTTGGTCTCCAGGATAGGCATTTTATTATCTCCATTTTACAGGTGAGGAAATTGAGGCACAGAAAGATTAAGTAGTTTGCCCAAGTTCACAGAGCTTGTAAGAGATATTCAAATGCAAGCTACATAAATCCATAGATTTTGTTTCAAAATGGGAACAGAAGCCATTATAGTCCCGCGCTGACGGGTCTCTGCCACGCTCTGCAGTGCGGTCTGCATCCCGTCCAACCCCGGACGGGGCGCTTCCTACCGCAGGCGAACAGCGGACTGCCCGCCAGACTCCTCGACAGACGAGGCGTCAAGCTGTTTAACCACTCTGGCCTCAGTTTCCTCACCCTTAAAATTAGGGTTTGGACCTGGATTATTTAAAGATGTGGTGCTGTTCAAAGATCTGATGAATCTATTAAGCCTGTGGGGAAAAAAACCCTCTCTTACCTATGTAAAAAGTTCTCATAATCTACAGTATAGGACCAAAGGTCATAGTACTCCCAACTTAATGCATTTTAATGTCGCCAAGAAGAAAGATGCAAGACCCATTCTTACACCTATATTTCCTTTAAAATTATCTTATTTTATATTGCATTTTTCATTAGCATTTGTCCTCCCTTTCCCACCACCGTACACCCTCTCCGGTCCACACTCACCACATTGTTGTCTGTGTCTATGAGTTCTTTCTTTCTTTTTTTTTCTTTTTTGCTTCATCCCTCCCCACTTCCAAACGCCTCATAACCATAATTTCTTATGGCTCAGAGCCCTCTTTGATGATCAGGTGTTTTTATTCTGGCACTTTGTTGTACTATTTGTGCCTTTTAAAAGGACTACAATGTGCCCATTGCATGGGCAATGGCAGGGAGTTGAGCCTTTCAACTTTGTGTAACTGTTTTTGTGGCTATAAAGACATGACGCAGGCTTCTTGAGCCAGAGTGAGAGGCTGTGCCAGTGAAAGTAAGGCAGTAACAGGGTAGAACAGGATAGTGGTAAGGCTCTCAGTGCTCGTATCTGCCTGTGTTTTGATATCATTTTTAATTCCTTGATATAATTATTGCCTTTTCAATGGAACATGCCCTTTTTGAAATTTATTTGAATTTAAAATTAGGGCTCAGGAAATTTTCTCTCCCATGTTCACATACTTATAATTACAGCTTCTATTTTATTTTTATATTTAACAGTTAACATTCTTCAGTGGAACTTTGAAAATTAAGAAGCATGATTAACATGTATTATTACATTTTTCAAGATTAGAAAAAGCTGGCTAAATGTAGTAGTCTGTGAATGTATAGCATTTACCACTTTGAGAGTACAGTTACTGCACTATGACATTCTACACTTATCTCTGGCGTTTCCAACTCAAGTGCCCAGAAGTCCCAGGCCATGACTAGGTATGACCTAAACAAACCCTCTGAGCCAGCGGTGAGCTACAAAGCACTGGTATTGGCAAGCCACGGATTCCTTCATAAACTGATAAAGCACAATGAGTTGATAATATGAAAGGAACTCCCTTCAGACAAAGAACAGAGATTCTATTAGTTTAGAATGTCTTCTTGGAAACTTCTGTGGCTTCACAAAACAGATTAAGTTGTAGTAATGGCCAAGTGCAACTCTGATCCAAATAGATGTGATAATTTGTCATATATGAAAAATTTCTGTATTATAAGTAAAAATTTCTAAATATTGTTAATTCAAATTAGGGACATTTGTGCAGGCAATTTTTCCTAGAAGGTAATTCAAAGTGTGTGAAATATATATAGAAGTTCTTTTCATGTTCAACAACATTTTATTATATAGGCAGTAACCATAAATAACAGATAAAATGCTACCCCCAAGAATTTCAACACAGTTCAAGACAACTTGCAAAAAGGTAGAAAATCTGTTTGATTATTACTTTTTGGGGGGACTGGAATAGGACATCAAGTAGAATAAAATGCAAGTACCCTGCATTTCATTTGCGAATTATTTAAAATAATTTGCAAATCAGCTAATAGGACGGTGAGTAACAACCTTTCTTTTCTGTCTGTACTTATGTTAAAATAGCCTTTCTTACCTGGAAGAAGTAGGACTGGAGAGGCTGATCCTTGTTTTCCTCATCCACATACAGTCCCCCTACCACGTATACCTGATTTTGTTGGGTAACGATGCTGGAATGATTTCTGGGAATCTGTTCGGCCAGTGCAGTAAGGTAGCATTCATTTTCTGTGGGATCGTAAGCCACTGCAGCTGTGTCATTGACCAGGAGGATGAGGTCTTTGACAAACATTCCATGCCTGGGAATGTCGTTTAGGTAACCAGGGAGTAAATCTTCATCACCAACATCTCCATTCACCTCACCAGCTCCGGCCTTCTCTGCGTTTTTGCTGGGTTCTGGGAGCTTGCCTGCGAAAGCGTCTTTGAGAACTTTGATTTTTTTCTGGAGTTCTGGGTTGCTTTTAATTATATCATCTTTCTCAACATGATCTTTAAAATATTTTTCTGTCATGAGGCGAAAACGGATACAATCAAACACTTCATTAAGGCTTTTAACCCTGTTTTCTTTGTCTGTTCTCACCCATTTCATCACTGCCTCAAACACTGCTTCTTCTTTTTCTATGTTTAGGCTGTCATTTGAAATGACGGAGATCAGCTCCTGTGGAGACAGTTGCATGAAGTCCTCTTCCTTACAAATCTGTGCAAAGCGATCAGACACAAATTCACGGGCAGAGAGGGCAAGTCTTGGGCAGTCCAGGAGAAGCCCCAGCCTTAGGATGGCTAGGCAGTTACCAGGAGCCAGTCTCTTCTGAAGATAGGAAACACAGACAGTGAACACGGAGGGGATCTGAAAGCGGCTGGCCAAGGCAAAAATGTCCTGCACGTTCCCATCGTTGAGATCAATACTGGCCGAGTAGAGGTACCTGATGATTAAATCCAGTACGGCAGCATCCACATTATCTAGGACAACCTCCTTTTTTTTCGCCTCATCAATTTCAGATAAAAAATACTCACGGAAATAAGGACTACAAGCTGACAGAATCAATCTGTGGCAAGGAATACTTTTGTCACCAGCTTTTAGGGTGCAATCGATGAATTTTTTCTCATCCAGGAGATCTTTTAGACCATCCTGAAGAAGGGTGGATTGGTAAAGCCGCAGCTCCTCCGCGAGTTCCCGCTGGGAGTCCATTTTGTGAGTGACCTGGGTGAGGAAGGGGACACTGAAGGCCTTAGCTCCTCGCAGCACACAGGTCCAGCTGTAAAAAGGCAGAGCAGTGTGCTCTGCCCAGCTTGTAGCCTGTGCAATTTAATCCCACCAGCTAAATATAGATACCAGCTCTAACATCGGGAATTTAGGAGCGCCACTTTGGAAAGAAGAGTTGTTCCCGCAGCTGTCAGAGATTGAGAGGGACAACTGAGACTTTTTATCACTAAGGAAACAGCTAGGGAATAAGCAATTTAAATGGAGTGGGAAGCTTTAAAATACATAAAGCATTAGAAGACATGCTAATAAAGGCTACCAAAAGAAAATATTTATTGAAGTAACAGGAAACTGAATCATAAAAATGAGTCAGTCCACTAAAAACAGTCTGGTGGCCAGCTCCTTGGCTATTTGGACTAATGATGCAAAGGTCAAGAATATGAGGTGAGTTGATTTGAATACTCATGAGCAATATTCCCTTTCCAATAACTGTTACTCACAACGTTTTATTTTCAACTTAAAACAATGAGGTATATCATTTTATTTTGGAAGTAGGAAACTTAAAGGCTTCTACTTATGTGTTATAATTGTAGTTGTTTTGGAAAAACCTTAAAAATAATACCCTCATCACAATGGAAATAATAAAGAGAAACTGTTCATTTTCTAAGACACTCTAAATTACCTTTAGTAAGTAAAAACATTTTAATTAGTATTGAATTAAATTTTAAAATGATCTTGTTCACACCTTGCCTCAGTCTACAAAGCATTTGGTGTGGCAGACAATAACAATATAACAAATAAAAGGAATCAAGATCAGAAAAAGAGTTTCAAGTCAACACTAAGGAAATAAATCCCCCCACCCGAATAATAGGGTCACTAAAGATATCCTGTGATTTAAAGGGTTGAAGATGATCTTTCACTAAAGAAAAAGTTCAGAAGAGCAGCTGTGACCCATGAGAGCCACGTTATTGACAGGACAGAGGAAGAAATGCTGCGCCACCTGCACCATTTGGAAAACCGGTCTTACACGTGGAAAAGAAAAAAGAATGTGTAACTGGAACCATAATTTAAGTTGTTGAGTATAATAAAACACCACATTAATTATGAAATGCAGAGGGTATGATCTGGAAGAAAACTGATCTTTTGTTTATATACAGTAGCATCATATACTTGTTTATAAAATACTTTATTACAAAATTATATTGTCATATTTTCTGAACTCAGTGGGGCTGTAGAAATACAGTACTTTTTTATCTTTAAAGAATTTTTTATTTTTCAATTACAGTTGACATAGACTATTATATTACTTTCAGGCGTACAACTCTGTGACTAGACATTTATATAACTTAGAGTGATCACTCTGTTAAATCTAGTCCCCCCTGACATGCGTGTTCCAACATTACTATGTTCCCTGTGCTGTGCTCACAGACCCACGACTACTCCAGAACTACCAACTCGTACTTCTCAATCCCTTCACCTTTTTCACCCATCCTCTCACTCCCCCATCAAAATGTTCTCTGTATCTATGGGTCTGTTTTGCTTGTTCATTTATTTTTGTTTTTAGATTTCACATGTAAGTGAAGCAACTGGCATTTCACTTTCTCTGACTAGTTTCACTAGCACAGTACCCCCTAGGTCCATCCACGTTGTTGAGGGTAGCAAGATTTTTCTTTTTTTATGGCTGAGCCATGTTCCATTACATATATGCACTACTTCTTGGTATTATTAAATATGCTCAAAAGGACGTAAGCTCCAGGAAGACAGGGATTTGGGGGGTGAGGTTTGTTTTGTTTAGTGGGATTGCTCCAGGGCCTCATGGGTGCTCCATAAATACAGGGTCCAGCGGAAGTAAGGCTTGCTTGAGTGTAGTCGGTAGGGTAATAATATGAGTATAATAATTTATAGTTTTAATTTGAACATTTTGCCTAAAATGTCATATGGTGTGCTTGGGTGTGATATTGTTATGTTACAGAATTACATGCTTATGATTTGTAATAAAAAAGGGACATTATTTGTGCCAGGTCCTATATTTGTTGAATGAATGACTGCCACCACCCAGATCAGGGAATTGTGTATTTTTAAACTTCAAGATCTCTGTCCAGGAGTAAAGGTTTCTCTCTCTCTTTTTTACATCACGGTGAAGTCAGTGGTACTGTCAGCTGCTAAAACAACAGCTGAACGAAGAGCTCATTGACTCTTTTTCCATTTATAGACGCCACTAAGGTTTTCACACACTAGGAAAAACTAACAGCTGCTCTCTCGTTTAAACAATAAATGACTCATTTCTCTCTACACGTAACACCTAACATTTGAAAAGATTAATGAGTCAGATGCTAACACCATGATAGACATTTGAGATTATTCCTTACTAGTTGGCAATTTTATAAAGTCTCTTTTGCTTGAAAAACTATTTAAACAAATGCCTGGTAGGATTTTGTGACCTATATAAATTTTTCCAACTATTTCTTCTCTAATATACTTGCTCATTACAATCGCATCCCTTAAAAATGTAGAAATCCTTTCCTGTTTAAATAAACCACTTTACAGCGTTTTTTCATTGGCTTTTATTAGACTTGGGTTAGCGCTTGATTGTACTATATGTTTATGTTTAACCTTATGTTAAATTTTTATTCATGCACTCCTTTCCCTCTAAAGACAGTGGGCTCCTTTGGCTAATTTCAATGATTTGACAAAAGCTCCTTATGATGTCTCTCTGTACACTGAAGCAGCGGCAAAAAGCACAGATGCCAGAGAAGTCACCAAATCTTGCCTAACCAAGAAATCAGAAAATAATACCCTAGTTTTGAAAACGTCACATAAGTTTCAATTAATACAAACAATGAAGACAATAAATGAACTATTTATTTACAAATTATTTACTTACAAAATAAAACGTATTCTCACCCAAATTATATTGAAATTATTTATGAAATAGTGCCCAAAACTTTACATAGGAGTTGACATATTCTATAGTTAGTTATAACTTACTTTTTACAGAAATGATCACCTAAAAATGATAGGTTTAAGGGTTGTAATTTATATTAAAGTTGGCTTACATTTGGAGCTGTATGGTAAAATAGTTAAAGCAGAGTTTCATAACTAAAAAAGCTGTACTTTGATTACTCTGTAGTAGTCATATTCTTTTAATTAATACTTTCAAAACAATAAATGGTGCTGCATACATAAATTCTTTATTAAACCTAATGTGGTACAGTTATTTAATATCCACAGACTAATAATTTACAAGTATTAAGTACAAAATATGCATATTTATAAACCAGACACATTTTGATTACAATTTTAAATATATTTTTTAAAAAATGACAGTAAAATCCTAGATAAATGAATTTTTCCTTAATCATTAAAAAAACTCTTCCTTATAAAGCTTTTTCTGCAAATGTAAAAACTGTTCCATGCCTTATAGCAGGCAACTGGTATCTTTAATCTTGAGATATCGTTAAACAGAAATCCAGCTCAAGATCAACTCATTACTTCCCAAAGTCCCTGTAGGGTGAATCCATCCTTCAATTTCTCTATTGCAAGCCCCAGTTCTTCTGAAAATACAGGTTCACGATCTTGTTGCTTTTGGGGAGATAAGAGGATGAGATGGGAATAGAGAAGGTGGGCAAGGAAGAGGAAAAAAACAAAAAATAGGTTTCACATAAGTTTGTGAATACTAAATATTGGAAAATAAAGTTTTTTTTTCATATACTATAGGTAAAATAGTCTTACCTTATTGCCATCAGCAAAATAAGCCTATAAGACAAAGAAAATTATATTTCACATACGTGACTTTTAATATTATAATAGGTCAGTGGGCTAAGGAACAGGCAATTAATTTAAAGAACAATTCTATGACTGAATGTATTTTATATTCTGTTACTATGTGTCTCATGGTTTTCTCAATTGTCTTTACAATGCTGGGAGTAGAGTTCACTTTTTCTGTCAGTCATTACTAAGGCCTTCAGGAGTTGTGCTTTAAGCTCTAAAAAATGTGCTTTGTCATTGGCGTGTCACTAGCATTGTTAATGTGAAAGGAGATAAAAAGATTGACTTAGAAGTTATGAAATTTCATCGCTACTTTTTTGTTTACAAGAAGATGCTGGCAAAACAAAACAAAGCAATCCATCAGCAAATGCATAATGTTTAAGGTAGTAGGAGTAGTTTATAATTAAATACTTTATACTAATTTTACTTTCTTTTTAAAAATATTTGTTCCCAGAGAGGAATTCTGGTCAGATTCACAGACCACAATATAAATAAAGTAAGCATTATTGTTATTTTGGCTATTAATTAAATAACAAAAATGTAGAAATGGGAAAGTTTATCGTTCAAATAGATATTTGAGATAATATATCTATGTACTGAAGGGAAGTCCATCTCATAAAAATTAATTATAGAAAGTATAGATTGTAAATTAGCTACACTATTCTAAGGTATGAAAAAACTTTTCACATATCTGAAATCGTCTGAATAATTCTGTTCTCAAACTATTTCCCAGTTTGGTAATTCAAAAGTATTTTCGCACATACAAACTCTCAAACTTAAAAAAAGAATAGTACTCACCAACTCATGTTTCAAATATTCTCAAGTTCAATGGTGTTTTACATACTTAATCTATTATTTAATAAAATGTGCGCCAGATAAAAATAATCATAAGAAATTTCGCAGCCTCCTTTGTTATGCTCACCACAAAAGCGTCTGGGTGATCATCAGGGTCTATTTCCACATCGTCTTGAATCTGTTCAACTGTCAGAGCTTCAAGGGACTGCGGCTGAAAATCAGATGTTAAACATGCATCAAAGAGACAATGTTAATTATACAAATAATTTAGTAAAATATGCTGAGAGCACTGTAAATACCTGTAAAAGGATAGCACAAATATAAACTATTCGAATCTTATAAAACTCATTGTATAGGGTAGTCTATTAAAACTTGAGTAATAAGTCAAACCTAAGCTTTTAAATCTGAAGTTGATATCATCCATAGAATTAAAATAACAAATTTACACACACTCCATATGATACTTAGAGATAACTGAGTTTATTTTTTTAAGAGAGAGGGTAAAGGAGGGAGAAAGAGAGAGGGAGAGAAACACGGCTCAGTTGCCTCTCGCACGCCCCCAACTGGGGACCTGGCCCACAAGCTAGGCATGTGCCCTGACTGGGAATAGAACCCGAGACCTTTAGGTTCTCAGGCTGGTGCTCAGTCTAGTGAGTGACACCGACAGGATTTAGAGATATTCTTAAAGAAAAAACTCTTACTGGACTTTATCTGATTTTATTTTCTTTAGTTAAAAGGAACAAAGCTTTGTATAATATCAATTTTTCAATTTTCTACAAAATAGTCATTAAAGAGAATCTGTGAAAAGTAAAAGAAATAAGATTTGTATGAAATATTCTAAAAGTAAAACAGAATAAAATATATCACTTATATTTATGACTATATTATTCATAAATCATATTATTGTCAAATATTTGAGTATCTCTGATGTATTAGCCCCTATGCTAGTGGTACCAAGGGTATAAAGTCCCCACCCCCACCCAAAGATGGTTTGTAATCTAGTGGGAGTGGAGCAAGAGACAAAACACAATTACTAATAACTAAATAGTAGGTTGAGTCATATGAAGCTGCCACTTTTGTTAAATGAAAATGGTAAAAAATATTATTAATATCATATGGTTCAATACAGGAAAGCAGCTGTAACGAAAGCAGTATCTATTATAATCAGAGTTTGGAGAAAGCACAACTTCTGGCTTGTGATCTAGGGCTTTAGGGTGAGGGTAGGAGTGCGCTGCTTGTCAAGACAGTGACCCGACTCCGCGCTCGGAGGTCAGCGCAGTGCCTCAGCTACGTTCAGAGCTTTGTGGCTGTGTACCGGTAATGTGAGCAATCTAAGCCTCAGTCGCTGTGAGATGATGATGATGACGATACACTTCATTATCATAGTGTTGTTGAATTAAATGAGATGATGCATATAAAATTCTTAGAACAGTGAATGGCAAACAATAGGTGTTCAACACAGTCGTTAAACAACTATGAATATTCACTAAGAGTCAATTATTTGTCAGTTTAGACTGCTGGAGATACTATCGTTAAAGAAAAATAGACCCCCCCAAAAAGACAAAAATCTCTGACTTTATGAGCTTATTTATAGTAGAAAAAACTGATTACTGTTCCCCAAAATAAAGTGATCAAGTAGAATAAGGGACAAAACCATGATGCAGGTTGCCGGTTGAGATGAGCAGTCAGGGAAGACCTTCCTGAGGAGGTGGCTGTTGGAGCAGAGAATCACAGGAGGTGATGGAGCGGCTATCCTTATGTACTGGGGCCAAAGAAAGGGAAAAGGGGAGAATTGGGTAGGAGAATGAACATACTGAGTGTCTCTCACGTGCCAGGCATTTTATGGACATGATCAGTAACTTTTTTAATCAATAACTTTAAGAGAGAGTATCTTCATGAGAAAACTGGAACTCGGACTTGCCTAGGATGACAAGAACACTTGCAACAGAGGGCAGTGAGGGCCCCAAAGAACAGACAGTGGGAGACCCTGTGCTGGAGCAGTCAGTGGGGGCACCAGGGAGCACGCCTCTGGTGGTAGGGCAGAGAGGACATCCCTAGTGCAGCGGCTAGTCAGCCCACAGTGAGAAACCCGATGACAAGGGGCCTGGCTGGAGAGGCAGAGCCCCGAAAGAGACCAGTGAGCTGACATGTGGGGTGCTGGCCATGTGGGGTACCTGGAGAGCAGAGACTGGTGCAGACATGGGGAAGCAAAGAGCAGACGTGTGGGGCGACATCCAAATTATTTCACAGTTGGCACGACGGAGGGACTGAGGAAGAGGAATGGACGCAGGCCGTATCAGAGGGGCAGACTCCTGCAGTCGTGAACTGTAGGGCCTGGGGGAGGAGAAGGGTGCCCGTGCCAAGGGAGGCTGAAGTAGGATAAAAATAAAGCTGACAGAGGGAGAGACTCGAGCCGGTCTACGACAAGGAGCCTCGCACGTGGAGACTTCTCTGGGCAGGCTGCTGCCCCAGAAGGGCAGGAATAAAGGAGGAAGCAGCCGGCGAGAAGGCAGGCGGTGAGCACAGACCGGTGAGGGCCCAGGGGCGTGTTCACCGGGCAGAGTTGGTGTATTCGTAATTCTAAACACAGCTTACTTGTTAAACATAGTTTCAAATTAATCTGTACATCATGGATTTATATCTCAATTTTATGGAGTGTGTACAACCAATTCCACACACACTGTATTTCATGTAGTGAACAAGGTACCTTTTCTTCCAACTCATAATCCACTCCAAATATAGGACTGGCCGAGTAGACTTTGTGAAGGGAATTGATTTCCTTAACTGATGCCTGTAGTTTGTCCACAGGATCTATTTTAAAGCCAAGAACATATCCTCCACTCTACAAGAAAAATAATGAAAAAATAAAAAACAAGCCTTAGAAATGGATATAATTTAAGTGTATATAATTTAAGTATATACACGTGCCAAACCACAGTTCTAACTGTCCTTATTTCAGATCATACTATGTAATCCAATTTTTATTTTTAATTTTTTCCATATTTTAATGGAAAAATTTTAATGTTCCATTTCCATTTTAAAATGGAAAATTTTTCCATTTTAATGTTGTTCAAGTACAGTTGTCTGCCTTTCCTCCCTTCCTCTCCCCTGACCCCAGCCATCCCCACAAAGCAGTTTTTTTTAATTAAAAAATTTTAAATTTGTTTATTTATTTATCTTTAGAAGAGAAGGAAAGGAGAGAGGGAGAGAAATATCAATGTATGGTTGCTTCTGGTGCATCCCCTGCTGGGAACTGGCCCCTGCTGGGAACTGGCCTGCAACCCAGGCATGTGCCCTGACTGGGAATCGAACCCTGATCTTTGGGTTCACAGGCCCACACTCAATCCACTGAGCTACACCAGCCAGGGCTTTTTAATTAAAATTTTTTATATGAAAAACTTCAAACACACACATCAATGGAAAGAAGAGTGTAATAAGTGTCCATGCAGCCATCATCCATCGAGCTCACACAAGTAACACAACACCGCCAACTCTGTTCCTTCTGCAACTGTGCCCTCCCCCAAATCTCCCCCCCCCCCACTAAGGAGTCTTCTCAAGCATATCGAGATATCACATCATTCCATCTGTACATATCAAAGCTGATATTTCAAGTTTAAAAATACGCTGTAGATTGTGAAGGCTAAGGGAACTAAGTTTTTCTCGAGCTAGACTTTGAAAAGGAGTATCCTGAAGGGGACGGCCTACGTGAAACCATCTCCTTGAAGAACGGAGAAAGAAACCTGACCGTGACAGGTTGCTGAGGAGTGTTAGAAAGCTAAGCAGCACACTGGAACAGGTGAGAGCACATGATCTGGGTTGAGAGCACGAGCTTTTGGGCTCAAATTCTGGTTTTACAACAAATTTACTAGCTGTGCGATGCTGGGAAACTTCTATTATCTTTCTGAGCTTCAGTTTTCTATTTTCTAACCACAAAATGGTGAACAAGTTGTATTAAATAATGCATATCTGACATTTTGTACAGTTCCTAGGACATACTGAGTACTCAGTAACTGGCAGCTACTAATCAACAGGCCAAGGGAAAGAAGTGAGTGGACATTCATCATGTTTAAATTTAGAATTTAGAAGAGGAGTGATTTTATAAATAAGTAAATGTTTTATTTAAAAGTATTTCTTAAAAGCCTGGCCTAATAGGGCATAGCAGCTTATCACTGGATGCAATATAATCTTGTGAGAGTATAACATCTCTAATGGGGTGTGTGGTGCATCTGGACAGACCTGTGTTTCTCAGTCTTGTGAGTCAGGCGGACCTGCAGTCGAAACCCAGCCCCACCTCTGACTAGTTGTGAGAACAGGGGTAAGGCTTCTAAACCCTGCAGGCCTCGCTTTCCTTGACTGTAAAACGGGGAGAGAATAGTAATTGTTTTATAGGGCTGTGCAAATATTGAGATAATGCATGATGAGTACGGTGACTTGACTGTCATTACACATGATAATCATGATGATAATGAATAGGTCTGTCCAACAAAGAAACAGAAGCAGGATTCTCCCTATGGGGACAATTACTATATGACTTCAAACTCTTCAGATATCTTCATGTTATAGCCAAAATTCTTCTTGAACGTAAACTGCTTACTGTATAAATGAAACTGAAAGTAAACTGTTACAGAGTTTTAAAAATCTATTAAAGATTAATGAAAATATTAAGTATCTTACCTGCTGAGAGCTTTCTATGACAAGAGCTAAACCAAATTTTGAATCTCTAATCTTTATTGAACGCTAGATGTAAAATGAAAAAGAAAAAAAGTTGTTATTATCTGATCATAGTGAATTTTTAACATACTTTTGTCACTTTTCACACAGTAAACTGCTTTTCATAGTCTAAAGAAAAGAATTCTTCCTCTTTCCTTTATAACGCTTCCACAGAGATCAAGTAAATAAAAACTTTTATATTGGAAATAGGAGCAAACTTTAAGGCAATACAAAGATGACGTCTCTAAAACACACAAGAAATTCTCTGACTTCTAAGGCGTTACAACCTTTCTGGATATTCTGAACCAAAGGCCAGCAGTCTTTTACTTATGGGGAGCCAGTGTCCTTGGGGCTCCAAAGGCTGGGTTCGTTTTTAGAAGTCTTAGGTGCCTTCTGTTTCTTACACCCTGAGTGGCTGACTTCGGAAAGCATCCCCGTTCCTTTTATTAACAGAAAAAAAGTAAGTTATGGGCATTCACCACAGGGCATCGAGGAAGGCTGCCACGGTCACTGCAACTAGCATCGGTGGGGAAGCAGGACACGAGGGTGAAGCTTGCCTGCCAGAAGGTGAGCGGTGGCACCAGTGGCCTAGGAGAAGGGAAGAGGGGTAGAGGCACAATGGCAGGCGGGAGCTGCAGAAAGCGACATAAAAGGTACTTGCTGGTGGAGTTAGAGAGGACCGTGGAGGATCTAACATTATGACCAGCAGACTAAAAGGCAGAGAAGGGTAACCTGTGGTAAGTGATGGCATATCACACTGCCAGACAGATGGACATTGGATGATGAAAAAGAGAAGAAAGAAGAGAGGGGGAGGTAGAGGGAGAGAGAAGGTAATGGAGAGAGAGGAGGGAGGAGGGAGGGAAAGGAAGGCTGATTAAATGATGGTTGCTATGGAAACCTGGCCTTATATCTAGACTACTTCACACCCCACCAGGAGTATACACAGTCCTGGTCAAGAACCATAACCCTCTGGCACCCGGGCTGTCAGTAGGTAACCTAACCAGGAGACCGTGGGCAACACAAGCTGGTAGGACAGCAACTGGCAAGAAGATGCATATTGATACACAGCCTGTAGTACAGGAGTGGGGCAGGGCAATGGCTGAGGAGCAGAGCTGAAGTCAGACTATGAGGCCTTAGTGGCAGACGGTGACAGTATCAGGCTGCAAGCTGTTCGGCCTGGCTGAATTCCTTCCAGATGCCCTATTTGGCAACTGTATTCTTAAATAACAAAAGTACCCTATCTGAAGAGCAGAAAATACAAGGTTATTTACTACTCAGTAATTATTTGGCATAATAGAGTTTAGGTTAAGCAAGCCAAAATACATGTAAATACAATGTAAGACAGCAATGAATAATACAGACACCCATTTATAAAATACCTATGTGGACTCTGTTACATCTTCCCAGCCATGATTATACATTCTGTTATGCTGATAGATGGCCAGAAATAATTTTATTCCTGTCAGAACCTACGATTTTCTGTTTAATGTGATGCTTTTTACCACCTGACTGAGAGCTCCTTGAAGGCAGGAACTGAGGTGCTGCTAAGCGAGTTGCAGGACTGCACCTCTAGCACCTGGCATGGAGCAGCTTCTCAGTGTCTGGAGAATGAACGACCAGATATTTTAAAGTAACTCAGAAATCAGACAATTTAGCAAAAGATAGGCCTGAGAATATTTTTAAAAGAATTATTTTTCATATAGGCCAAGAAGTCCCTTAAAAAATGACATTTTCCAGATACAGATACATTATATCTACCACCTAAATCTTTATTAATGAAACTGTTTAGTCTTAAGGCTACTTCTATACTACGATAGGGCTATTATCATAGGATAACCACATAGGATTTTCATGAAGTATTTTTATGTTCTGTGTGATGGGCACTAGAGTCTGAAGTAGTCATTTATATATAAAATTCTTCAGTTTATTGAAGTTTACTATTGTTTCACCACATCACATACTTATCATATCAGCAGCAGCAGAGTGAAAAGAACCACTTTTATCTATACCCAAAACAAAATGGTCTTAGCTAGAGTTAGTTCTTATTCTGGATTTTAACAGCTTTAATTTCAGCTAAAACTATTATTAAAAACCATCTTTATTTCTTTCACCAAAACTGTATCTGAATACAATAAAAACAGTTCATTCACAGAATTCATGATTTAATTCTGGCTCAAAAACGGTTTGAGCGGGAAGTAGCAAGAGCGCCCAGTGAAGTGTGTGGTGCGGGTGCTGAAGCCCTGCCCAGGACCCCCACGCAGCTGCCTCCTGGGGAGGCTGTGGGAAGCTTCAGTGGCCAAGACCCTGTGAATGATATCTAAGAAAGATGCACCTTAATCTGTATGAAAACTAATTAAATTTTTAGAATCCAGTACATTTCTCTCTTAATAGTGAGTTGATAATGGTGCTGCTTCCCTTGAATGTAAATAAAACCGGGTCTTTCCTATGTTGAAATAGCAAATTATCAACATTTTTAAAGCATGCTCTCCACTAAACTGCTGCCACTTAAAAAGGGAGAAAGAGAACTTATCTAACTCCCAATGCCCCATTAGTTGTTGAACAGAAATCATTTATTTTGCATTAAAATGAAGCCATCAAAACGCACGCACTTACAATTTGCAGATATGGTATACTGACGTTAAAGCTGTCATTCATATTTGCATGCCACACAATTCTCACATTGGTAATAAAAAAGGTTCCTAAATTTCCCTGTAAAGGACAGTAATGAGAGATACATCAACGATCACTTGTTTGAAAACTTATTCTTTATTTTCTAAACATCAGAATAATTCTAATGATCAACAGCAAATACCACAACTGAGTATTGTGGAGTATTTAAAAAATATATTTTATTTATTTATTTGTAGAGACAGAGGAAGGGAGAGAAATATTAATGTGCGAGAGAAACATCAATCAGTTGCCTTTTGCACAACGTGGCCTGCGACCCAGGCCTGTGCCCCAACTAGGCATCAAACCAGTGACCCTTTGGTTCAAAGGCCAGCGCTCAATCCACTGAGTCACACCAGCCAGGGTTTATTACGGGGTATTAATTACTTCATCATTCACTGCATGGCAGAACAATTAGGTTACTGACAGCATGGACTCTAGAGTTAGAGAATCATTACATCATCAGTACTGCACAGTTGTCTGACTAGGGGCACATTTCTTTTTGGTGAATTGTGTCAAATGTAAAATGAGTATTTGATTAAATGACCCATGTGAATAAAGCCCACAGCACAGTATCTGGCATGCAGTAAGCATTCTACAAGTGTTAGATCTTGTTATAACTATTACTCAAAGCCTGGGATAAGTCAAGGCACGGGAGTTGTGGTAAGAGACAAAATACATTTGATAACCCCCATCAGTCCACAGAGATATTTAATGGCTCTTCCACACTAACTATAGATTGAAACTGTTCTCCAGTTACATGGCCCCTCAATATCTCTCAAGAGTATCTCAATATAATAGATAAGTAGCTTTAAAAAATCTTCAAGGCCTAATAACATGGCACCAAAATCTGCCTCAACCATTTATCTATCATTTTCCACCTCCTCCCTACCACATACACCAGAAGAATTTTCTTTATTTTATACTTTGAGGTTGCACATAAAACATTAACTAACAAACCCCAAACCTAAAAAGTCTTCTTTTGGGATGACCAAGTTTGAAAAAGCAAGAAAGATGACCTGTTTCCGAATTAGTAAGTATATGTATATCTATTTCCTCCTCTACTTTTATCCTGTAAAAAGATGTTATACCAAAAATTTTAGCCACCATTACTTCCAGCCCAAGTCCCATTAAACAATACTAAGTCTCACTTTATAAGGAATTCTTCATATCATTGTTTCCTTTTTATTTTAAAAAAAGAGAACTGTAAAAATATCCTAAGGACTTTTTAAAAATAGTAGCAGTGCATATTTTATTTTATTATTTCTCAATAAACATCAGGTTGACAATAACATCTCTATTTTCAATAAAATGATGTATCTGATCATTCTGGAACATCATAATTAATTAATTAAAAATGCCAGGTGGTGTGCTCGGTAGTAAGGATCAACTACGAATAAAGTAACCCCACCCCTACTCTCATGGAGCCTACACTCCAATGTGGATACAGACAAGCTCTGTATTTCAGAGTGGCAGTAATGCAGAGTGGTAACTGGCTGCAAGGAACACACAAAAAGCAGCTTTCAGAACGTGACATCTAAGCTATGGCCTAACACAGGGCTGGCCTGCTGCCTCAGTTTTTATGGCTCACAACCTAAGAATAATTTTTATATTTTTAAGCGGTTGGGAAACAAGTTGAAAGAACAGTATTCCATGACACAAAAATACTATATGAAATTCAAACGTCAGTGCTGATGACAAAGTTTTACTGGAGCACAGACACACGCACTTGTTTATGTACCGTCTGTGGCTGGTTTAACGGGAGGACTGAGAGACATTGGGGCAGAAACTGTAGGGCCTGCAAAACCTAAATATTTACCATCTGGCCTTTTACCGAGTGAACTTGGCTGACTCCTGATGAAAAGGAGTTATTCAGATGGGAAATGTCTGTCTCCTAGAGAACCTTTATCAGTTTAAAACTAGAATTTTTCAAATGAACAAAGTTTATTTACAACTTAAGGTCATGATCCAATGTTTAGCAAGAAGCTCTTCATTCAAATGTTGTAGCTGGACCACAGTGGTCATGGCTCTCATCTAGATTGTAACACACACAAAGGCTAGAAATTATTCCTAGGGACAAATTTTTCTTTGGAAATTCATGTTACTTATTTCAATTATTAGTTGCTTACATGTTTCTACTGGTAATCATTTCAAGAGCAAGTGAATAGTTACCATAATGGAGAGGGGTCACCAAATGAATTATATGTTTAATTCCACGAAGACCAGATTGACAATCTCCTGTGACAGTCCACCTACAGCTCTCCCCCATTGGTGTGGGTTACCCGGACTTGAGTGTGGTGCAGCAGTGCAGGGAGACAGCTGTGGCTCTGGGACAAACTAACTAGGTGTGCAAGGTCACTTAATTCTTTGGGGCCTGAGTTTTTCACCTATAAGTGAGTAAAGATTGAACTAGAGATGATCTTGAAGGCCCATTCCAGCTCTAAATTCAATGGAGAACAAATGTTGCTAAACAGAACAAAACCATAAAAATGTAAAAAGTAGATTATTTTATATCAAGAGCTAAAATGTTAACTTATCAAGAGGTATGATGATACTTTTAATAGTTCAATGAATATACAAAACTAAAGATAAATGGAAAAATGATTACCAAGGCAATGCCCCCTAAAGGTCATTAATTTTTTACACAATACCTGATCACTGGATAAATTCCATACTCCATTGATTTTGTCGTATACGTGTTCTTGTGGTAATAATCTTAGTTGCTTATTTTGAATTAGTGCACTTCTCAATTTAAAATCGCGATACATTTTAGAAGTTTCATATGCTCTATAACAGAGAATAAACAAAAGGCTAACTCAAAATGAACATGCAGTTTTCTTTGGTTATTTTTACTTACCTACTAAAATATAAAGTTGTTAGTACTCATATACATCACTCAAATAATTACCACAGTAAAGATTTTTCCTTTTTAAGCTGATGTCCTTAAACTAGTATAAATTTTTTTCAGTCAGTTTTGGTGATTATAGTATTTTGTAGACTTTGTCATTTTAGTGTAGTGCTTACATATTTTATCTCAGTAAACTATTTTTTTTCAATGTCTAATTTTTAAGGTACTATTGACACAGCACGAGGACATAAATTTTTCTCTCACACTGAAAAGACAATGCTTGTATATAATAAACATGGAAATTATTTTTTCTATAAAAATGTTTCCCTTCACTTCTGTCTTAGTGAAAAGCACCATTATTCTTTCTGTCACTACAACCTGAAAAATTATGCTCACATCTACCTCTGTACAAAAAGTTAGAATGGATCTGTAGACTTTGTCTTTTCAGTGTAGCATTTACATATTTTATCTCAGTAAACTTTTAGATGTTTAATTTTTAAGGCACTATATATCACACAGCACAAAGAGAGGACAGAGATTTCTCTCAAACTGAAAAACAAGGCTTGCGTATAAAAGACATGGAAATCTGCCCTGGCTGGTGTGGCTCAGTGGTTGAGCATCAGTCTGTGAATCAAAGGATCGTGGGTTCCACTCCTAGTCCAGGGCACATGCCTGGCCCTGGGGCCAGGTCCCCAGTAGGGGGCGCACCAGAGGCAACTGCACATTGATGTTTCTCTCCCTCTCTTCCCTCTCTAAAAAAAAAATATATATATTTATATATATATATATATATATATATATGAATAAATAAATAAAACCTTAAAAAATGAAAATTATTTAAAAAATATACATGGAAATTCTTATTTTTTATCAGAATGCTTCTTTTCATTTCTGTTTTAGTCAAAGGCACTGCTATCCTTTTTCTTACTACAGCTTGAAAAAATTATGCTCACATCTACCTGTACACGGAAAACTACAATGAATCTGTACCACCTCCACAAGTAACCTTAGGAAAGAGTCTAGGACCGACAGTGTGTGTATATCTGTGTGTGTGTATATAAAATCCCTATAATTTTGTTTCCCTTCTATGTCTCCCTATTAATAAATAATAAATATAGAAGTAAATTCTTTTCTTTTTTAAAGGTTTTAATTATTTTTAGAGAGAGGGGAAGGGAGGGAGAAAGAGAAAAAGAGAAACATTAATGTCTGGTTGCCTCTCGTGAGCCCCCTACTGGGGATCTGGACTGTAACCAAGGCATGTGCCCTGACTAGGAATTGAACCAGTGACCCTTTGGTTTGCAGGCCGGTGCTTAATACTCAAAGCCACACCAGCCAGAGCTAGAAGTAAATTCTTAACTTCTAAAAATTTTATTTTTCAATTATAGTTTACATTCAATATTATTCTATTTCAGTTTCAGGTGTACAGCACAGTGGTTAGATAATCACATACTTTATATAATAAAGTGATCCCTCCAGTACCCCCCTGGCAGCACACACAGTTATTACAGTATTATTGACTATATTCCCTATGTTCTACTTTACATCCCCATATCAATTTTGTTACTTTCAGTTTGTACTTCTCAATCCCTTCACCTTTTTCATCCAGTCCACCAACTCCCATCCCTCTGGAAACCATCAGTCTGTTCTTTGTAACTATAAGTCTGTTTCTATTTGCTTTGTTCACTTATTTTGTTCTTCAGATTCCACATATAAGTGAAATCATACAGTATTTGTCTTTCTCTGCCTGACTTATTTCACTTAACATACTCTGTAAATCCATCCATGCTGTTATAACTGGTAAAAATTTCACTCTTTTCATGACTGAGTAATATTCCATTAATATATGTACCACAATTTTTTTAATCCACTTGTCTATTGATGAGCACATGGGCTGCTTCATATATTGGCTACTGTAAGAAAATTCTGAACTTCTGATTATTTAATTCTAAATATGTCCATAAAAATATAGGCAAATTTACCCTATTATTTATAGGCTGATGTGGCTCAGTGGGTTGGGCTTCGTCCAGCAGACTGAAAGTTGCTGGTTTGATTCCTGGTGGGGACACATACTTGGGTTGCAAGCCAGGTCCTTGGTAACTAACTGATGTTTCTTTTGCACATCAATATTTGTCTCCCTCTCTCTCTCCCTCCCTTCCCTTCTCTCTAAATAAATAAATAAATAAATAAGTAAATACAATCTTTTTAAAAAAAATAGGCTAATTTACCCATTTAATGAAACTATGTTTTCTTAGCCTAAATAACTTTAGAAGTCATTCATATAAATTATAATACTCAATGTTAAATTTCTGATTTTTACTATAATTAACCTCCTAATATATAAATGGTGAAAAAGCAGGATATGAGCATTTGCTTATAAATCTTGATTTCCTGCAGTGCTGTAATCATCAATATTCAACAAGGGGGGGTGATAAAAACTATTTATGCTGTAAATTATGTTGTGGGGGGGAAAACACAACACTTTTATACTGTTAAAGAAAATCAGCTTCTGTAGGCCCTTCAAACTTGATTTTCTATTACTTCTCTAAGTAAAGTGAAATAAAAAGCTAAGGTTTATGTGTTTGCCCAAGAGAACTAAAAAATGTTTTCACCCAAAACTTGTACATGAATGTTTACAGCAGCATTATTCATAATTAAAAAATTGTCTATTAATTGATAAGTAGATATACAAAATACATGTCCATACAATGGAATATTATTCAGCTATAAAGAAGGAATAGACATCCAGCCAAGATGGAGACATAGGTAGACATACTGTACCTCCTCCCATAACCAAAGAAAGACAACAACAAATTTAAAAACACAAAATAACCAGAACTCCCATAAAATCAAACCATATGGAAGTCTGAAAACCAAGGAGTTAAAGAAGAAACATTCATTCAGACCAGTAGGAGGGGCAGAGATGGGTAGCTGGGTGCAGAAGACTCATGGCAAGGCAGCGGCTGGAGGACCAGGTGGTCCCACATTTGCATGTGGATAAAGCAGGAGGAACAACTGGGGAGTGAAACAGAGCACACAACCCAGGGCTCCAGCACAGAAAAATAAAGCCTCAAATCCTCTGACTGAAAAAAATCTGTGAGAGTTGCGTCAGTGAGAGAAACTCCCAGCCTCATGGGAGAGTTCGTTGGAGAGACCCACAGGGTCCTAGAATGTACACAAACCCACCCACCCAGGAATCAGCACGAGAAGGGCACAATTAGTGGGGAAAGCTGATCAAGAGCCAAGGAAGTGGCATCGTTCCCTCTCAGAGTCCTACCCACATACAGCACCACAACACCCCTATGTGGGCTGTCCCACCTTGGCCAATACCTAAGGTTCTGCCCCTTACAACATAACAGGTAAACCAAGACAAAGAAATATGGCCCAAATGAAAGAACAGATCAAAGCTCCAAAAATAGATGCACGGTTCAAAACACTGGTAATCAGGATGCTCACAGAAATGACTGAGTTTGGTTGCAAGATAGAGGGAAAAGTGAAGGCTCTGGAAAGTGAAATAAAGAAAAATATTCAGGGACTTCAGGCCAAAATGGAGGCGTAGGTGGAAACACTGTGCCTCCTCGCACAACCAAAATTAAAGATAACAAAGATTTAGAAACAAAAGCACAACCAGAACAGAGAGAAAATTGAACTGTACAGAAGTCCAACAACGATTCATCCTGATAGGTAAGAGGGGCAGAGAGGGGTCCAGGCAGGAAAAAGTGGTGGTTGGCAGACCCTGGTGTGCAGGTGGTGCGAGGCTACCAGATCCCGGGTGCGGGGAGGAAACGAGCAGACCCAGTGAGGCGTACAAGAGGGTTGGCTGACCACAGACACACATTTGTGTGCAGATAAACCAGGTGAAAATGGGTGGTGAGACAGACTGCACAACCCGGGGCCTCAGCAACAGGAAATAAAGCCTAAAAGCACCAACTGAAAACACTTGTGGGGGTTGAGGTGCCGGGAGAGACTCCCAGCCTCACAAGAGAGTTTGCTGGAGTGACCCACAGGGTCCTAGAATATACACAAGTCCACCCACATGGGAACCAGCATCAAAAGGGCCCAATTTGCTTGTGGGAAGCGGCAGAAGGGACTGAAACCAGAGAGAAAGCAAAACAAAAGCCATTGCTCCCTCTCAGACCCTGACCCCACATATAGCATCGCAACCCAGTGACCTGGGTTGACCCACCCTGGTGAACATCTAAGGCTCCATCCCTCATATGTAACAGGTGTGAAGAGACCAAAACATTATGGCTCAAACAGAGGAACAAATCAAAGCCCCAGAGCCAATACTTTTAAGCAACCAAGAGATAGCCAACCATTCAGATGTTCAGTTCAAAACACTGGTGATCAGGATGCTCACAGAACTGGTTGATTTTGGTCGAAAATTAGATGAACAAATGAAGGCTATGCTAAGCGAAATAAAGGAAATGTACAGAGAACTAATAGTGATGGAAAGGAAACTGGGACTCAAATCAAGGGAGTGGACCAGAAGGAAGAATAAAATGACCAAACAGAAACGAATGAAGAAACAAGAATTCAAAAAAAATGATGAGAGGCTTAGGAACCTTCAGGACATCTTTAAACGTTCCAACATCCGAATTATAGGGGTATCAGAAGGGGAAGAGGAAGAGCAATAAGTGGAAAACTTATTTGAACAAATACTGAAGGAGAACTTCCCCATTCTGGCAAAGGAAATAGACTTCCAGGAAGCTCAGAGAGTCCAAAAGAAGGTTGACCCGAGGAGGATCATACCAAAGCACATCATAATTACATTACCCAAGATTAAAATGAAGGAGAGAATTCTAGAAGCAGCAAGAGATAAGGGGACAGTCACCTACAAAGGAGTTCCCATATGACTGTCAGCTGATTTATCAAAAGAGACCTTGCAGGTAAGAAGGAGCTGGAAAGAAGTATTCCAAGTCATGAAATCCAAAGACCTACATCCAAGCAGCAAAGCTTTCATTTAGAATGGAAGGGCAGATAAAGTGCTTCTCAGATAAGGTAAAGTTCAAGGAGTTTGTCATCACCAAGCCCTTATTATATGAAATGTTAAAGGGACTTATCTAAGAAAAAGAAGATAAAAAAATGAACAGGGAAAGGATAGCAAACTCACAGTTATTAACAACCACACCTAAAACAAAAGCAAACTAAGAGGACAGCTAGATCGGGAGCGGAGCCACAGAAATGGAGATCACAAGGAAGGTTAGCAATAGGGAGTGGGAGGAGGAGGTGAAGGAGAAGGTACAGAGAATAAGTAGCATAGACAGTGGGGAGAAAATACGGGGAGGACAAGAGTAGTGTGGGAAATGTAGAAGCTAAAGAACTTATGACACATGGACATGAACTAAAGCGGGGGAATCTGGGTGAGAAAGGGTATGCAGGGTGGAGGGGAATGAAGGGGGGGAAATTGGACAACTGTAATGGCATAATCAATAAAATATATTTAAAAAAAAGAAAAATATACAGAGAACCAACAGTGAAGGGAAAGAACCTAGGACTCAAATTAATGATTTTGACTAGAAGGAAGAAATAAACATTCAACCAGAACAGAATGAAGAAAAAAGAATTCAAAAGGAATGAAGAAAAATGAATTCAAAAAGAATTCGAAAAAATGAAGAGAGGCTTAGGAATCTCTGAAATATTCTGAAAGGACAACTTGAAATATTCCAACATCCAAATCATAGGAGCGCCAGAAGGAGAAGAGGACCAGCAAGAAATTGAAAACTTACTTGAAAAAATAATGAAGGAGAGCTTCTCCAATCTGGCGAAGGAAAAAGACTTCCAGGAGGTTCAGGAAGCTCACAGCATCCCAAAGAAATTGGACCCAAGGAAGCACACAGAATCCCAAAGAATTCTGGACCCAAGGAAGCACACACCAAGGCACATCATAATTATATTACCCAAGATTAAAGATAAAGAGAGAATCTTAAAAGCAGCAAGAGAGAACGAGACAGTTACCTACAAAGTAGTTCCCATAAGACTATCAGCGGATTTCTCAAAAGAAACCTTGCAGGCAAGAAGGGGTTGGAAAGAAGTATTCAAAGTCGTGAAATGCAAGGACTCACATCCAAGATTGCTCTATCCAGCAAAGCTATCATTTAGAATGGAAGGGCAGATAAAGGTTAAATTAAAGGAGCTCATCATTACCAATTCCTTATTACATGAAATGTTAAAGGGACTTATCTAAGAAGATAAAAACTATGAACAGTAAAATGACAACAAACTCACAACTATCTCCAACTGAACCTAAATAAAACAAAAACAAACTAAGCCAACAACTAGAACAGGAACAAAATCACAGAAATGGAGATCACATGGAGGGTTATCAGTGGGGAGGGGGAGGGGTGAATGGGGGAAAAGGTACAGAGAATAAGAAGCATAAATGGTAGGTGCAAAATAGAGGGGAAAGTTAAGAATAGTACAGAAAATGTAGAAGCCAAAGAACTTGTATGTATGACCCATGGACATGAACTAAGGGGGGAGGAATGCTGGTGGGAGGGCAGTACAGGGAGGAGGAGAATAGAGGGGAGAAAAAAATGGGACAACTGTAATAGCATAATCAGTAAAATATATTTTTAAAAAAGGAATAAAATACTGACATGTGCTATAACATGGATGAACCTTGAAAACATTATGTAAGTGAAAAAAGTCAAAGAAAAAAAGTCAACCATTTATATGTAATGTCCAGAATAGGCAAATCCATAGAGATGTAAAGTAAGTCAGTGGTTGCCAAGGGCTGTGGTGGGGAGAGAATGAGGGTGACTGCCTTGGCAGTTTCTTTTTAGGATGATGGGAATATTTTGGAATTAGGTAGTGATGACAATTGCACAACCTTGTAAATATACCAAAAACTACCAAACTGTAAACTTCAAAATAGTGAATTATATCTCAAAACAAACAAAAAAACTAAACCATTATTTAGAGTAAAAAAATCAAAATTAATAATCAAAAAATTAGGAAACTAAGAAATACATGTGCAATATATATAACTGATAGGAATATAATTTAGAAATTTACAACAGAAAACTATAAATAACAAAAGAAAAATTTAAGTATCACTAGTAATAAATGTAAATTAAAACAATGGTATATATATTATACTTGTGTGTATATGTGTATCAACTTGTGTATATATTTATTTTGCCTGTCATCTTAGCCAAATTTATTTCTTAAATCATAGCCCTTAGGACTGATTGCAAAAAAAAGGAGCCAAGGCCCCGGCCAGGAGGCGTCTTCACGCGCACCGACAAGTCGGGGTCAGTCCCGGGGTTGGGGAGTGCACAGGGGCAACTGAGGGATGCTCCCCTGTCACACTGATGTTTCCCTCTCTCCACCTCTCTCTCCCCCCTTCCTATCCCTCTAAAATCAATAACATATCCTCAGATGAAGACTAAAAAAAAGAGAGAGCTAAGGTAGTGAAAAGAGAAGAATTTAGCAAAGAAACAAACCAAAAACACCCCCGCAAAAAACCAAACCACAAAACGCAAAACTGTTTGGGGAAAACACACAAACTTGACTTCTATTAGAGAAATAATCTTTTTAGGTCATTCGTTAAATTATATAACTTGGTTACTTATACTGAATGAATTTTCTAACACCTTGTAACTGCCTTCGAGGTTAATTTAATAGAATCTTCAGGAGAAAATTTTTTTAAATTCTATATTTATTTATTTGTTTGTTTATTTAATTGTTGCTCAAAGGAGAAATTTTTATGAACCTTCAGTACTCTTATGTGTTTTATGAATCCCTTCAAAGTGTTTATTAAGTGACAATACAACACATTCTTCTATATATCTTTAGAATATTACAACAGAGCTTGGTGGGAGATGGAACCACACTTCTAAACTTCCAGGGGTGTCCAACCTTTTGGCGTCTCTGGGCCACACTGGAAGAAGAAGAGTTGTCTTGGGCCATACATTAAATACACAAACACTAACAAAAACCGATGAGCAAAAAAAAAAAAGGTTTTAAATAAATTGACGATTTTGTGTTGGGCCATTCATAGCTAGCCTGGGCTGCGTGTGGGCCACAGGCTGTGGGCTGGACACCCCTCTAGACCTTTATATCACAGAACTGTAAAAATATTCAATAATCTACAAATCATTACCATACCTGTGTACTGCAATCACAGAAGTAAAAAGTCTAGGACTTCCAGGAACCAAATTTGTAAATATAAACTCAAAACGAGTACTGTTACATTTTGTTAGTATATAAAGAGCTTCAGTTTGGCCTCGTAATTTCTGTAAGGACAAATTTATTTAAAAGTTCAGATTTTAAAAGCAATTTCTCATTTATAGTGAAAACAAAAACCAACCTCAAATAGCTAATGTTTCCTCACTGTATATATTTCAATAATATTTTTCAGACTTACAGAGTTAGCAGTCCTCGTTGTAATATTCATTATGCAGTTGTAACCGATAGCTAAAATTCAAAAGCAAAGAATTTAAAGAACATAATACAATAAATAGAAAAATCTATATACAGAATTTTTAAGTTTTAAAAATGAAATATAAAAAACTTTTAAACATTTTAATAAAACTACAAATATAAGTTAAATAATGAAAAGAAATATAAAGTCAATTCTGCCCCTTTGACAAAATACATTCATAACATGGGAATAAGAAAGTTAACTTCTCTAAAACTTACACAGTATTATTTACTGAAAAATCTTAGCATTACTACATCAAGAGAAAAAGTCTAGGTAGATAATCTAAAATAGTTTTAAAAAATAAGTTATGGGATTTAACCCAATAAAAGGTTGTACTTTGCTATTACAATTCAGATTTCCCTTCTTTGGGATGACTTACAATAACTTTTAACAATGTCAGAGATAAGCAAAAACAAAACAAAACTAACAAAAACAAATTAAAAAAAACAACAAAAAAATCATTCAATGTAAAAGCACTGATGTCCTGTATGTCCAGGAGACAAAATAAACAAACTGAAAAACATTTCTTTCGCATTATGATGCAGTCAGTGGTTAATCAAGGATTTCTAAGATTTTTATCAACTTAAAGATTTCCATGTATTTCATGGTATAGCTTTTTCAGTATCAAAAGCCACTGTGTAAGTTCGCTTGACAAAGTACTTTTTCTTTTTAGTGTTATCTAACAAAGATACTTACAAAGATTGACTCTAGGTAATGCCAAAGAGTGCCAGAGAATTCTTAAATTTGTTACTAAGAGTCTACCTGAAAGCAAACAAACAAACAAGATACCTTAAGTAAGGACTTGCTTTTGTCATACAGAATAAGGTAGACATGGAACTTCTGGCCCAGTATCAGCAGCAACACCCATAGCTGTTTTTCGTACATTTATTGATTGAAAGTATTTATTGTGCATATCTGTCCTATGTAGGGTACACAGTGTGTGATTCAGAACCTCCCAAAACAAAAATCTGATAGTTAAAGAAGGGATACAAGTATTCACTGCTAACATCTTGGTTTGACTGAAACTGATGGAGGAGAGAATTGGGTTCTGGTTCTTTGTCTTGGTAGAAGCTGTTCTGGGGATCCCAGCAAGTCATATATGTACAACTAAGAATGACTATGGGATGGTATGACTGCAAAGCCATTCAGTGAAATCACACTTCTCAAAGAACTCTCACATACACTCTAGTCCCTGCCACACGACTCATATACTCATATACCAAATTTTATACCAAATTTTTCTTCCTTTCTTTTTTTTTTGCTGTGGGAAAACTTTTTGTTCATATGAAATTATAGCCAGGATGAAGTCTGTTTAATGCCTCAGACTGATGTCCTTACAGGAGAATACAAAGTTAGATAAACTTCATTTCTCAAAGTGTGTCCTGTGGATATGGCAAGGAGAAAAAGAAGTTAAGTAAATCTGAGCATGGTAAACCTTGTGTCTTAGAGATTTATAATACAATTGGCGTTTTGCAATAGCTTTGAGATATCCTGAAATAGTAAAACTCTGAACTTTGTTCAACACAATATTTCTTCAACCCATTATTTTTACAGATCTCCTTTATGAGTAATCTATAGCCAGGTCATATTCCTTCCTCCCTGGAACCCCCCAGACAGGTGTCCAACCTGCGGTGTGCAGGCCGCATGCAGCCCAGGATGGCTACGAACGCAGCCCAACACAAGACTGTAAATTTACCTATGACATTATGAGATTTTCTTGTTTTTGTTAGTGTCTGTGTATTTAATATGTGGCTCAAGACAACTCTTCTTCTTTTAGTGTGGCCCAGAGACACCAAAAGGTTGGACAACTATTGAATATCTGAAATCAAAGAAACTAAGCCTGTAAGAATGCTGGAGTGAGATGGGCTAAGAGATTCTAAAAATAAAGGAAAGCACTCTCAAGAGAAGCTGCAGAACATTACATGGTATGTTTAACAAATAATAAGTAACCCCACCTGGTTAGAGTGGAAGGCTCACCCAAGATCATAGAATTGCTGACCCCGCATCTATCAGCTGGCGTCAAACAGAAAATAGATGGCACACTCCCATTAGGATCATTGAGGTTTCTATACAAACGTACTTATTTCGAAGGCATGGTGGGGTGTCAGGAACCCTAAGTGAGTACAGTAGACCTGTACCACCCCAGGCCCAGAGGGAGGAGGACAGGAAGCAGTTAACCAAGTCTGGAAGGAGCAAGAGTCCTAAAGAGCTGAGTGCTCTGGATGGGAAGAACCCAGGGAATAAATACCCAGACCTCACTCTCCTGCCTCCCTTTGACCTGCGATAGCTCTTTCAACTGGAACCAGAGTGCACAAGGGGCCTCTGATGTGGTCCATGCATTTTCTCAGGGCAGGGGAGAATGGGTAGATGGAAAAAGGTGCTGGATATGGAGGGATACCTGGAGGATGGGGGCGCAAGCAAGAAAGGTTGTTTGTGGATAAGCTAGAAGTAATTCAATGCTAAACCAAGAAATACTGACATAATGTTAGCAATGGAGGCACTGGGATGGGGTTTAGAATTGGGACTGGGGAGAACTGAAAAATTTTGAGAAGAGCATAATGTGATCAATCTTAGCAATTTAGAAAGCAATGCAGGCAGTTCGGTTTATCACTTAGTATCTATGTAAACTTGGAAAAGTTAATTAGCCTCTTGTTCCTCAGTTCCTTTACTGAAAAAAAATGATAATAGCATCTATTTCATTTTTCGTAGTATTATTATTACTTATTATTATGTGAGATTACGCATACTATGTAAAAGATTTAGAGCAGTGACTAGTGCCCTTGCTGGTGCGGCTCAGTGGACTGAGCTCCAGCCTGCAAATGGAGGGGTGGCTGGTTTGATTCCTAGTCCCAGCACATGGCTGGGTTGTGGGCCAGGTTCCCCAGCTGGGGGTGTGCCAGAGGCAACCAATCGATGTATCTCTCATACATTGCTGTTTTTCTCCCTTTCTTATTCCCTCCCTTCCCCTCTCTCCAAAAATAAATACATATAATCTGTAAAAACAAAACAAATACAAAAACCAGTGACTGGAAAATAGTAAACGTTCACTGTGTTAACTGCTATAATTATTTTTTAAATATTTTAATTCTTTACAAAATTACTTTTAGGATTAAAAAAAAACATTTTATTTCTTTATTTTTAGATAGAGGGGAAGGGAGGGGGGAGAGAAACATCAATGTGTGGCTGCCTCTTGAGCGTTCCCCACCGAGGCCCTGGCTCACAACCCAGGCACGTGCCCTAATTGGAAATCGAGCCAGCAGCCCTTTGGTTCGCAGACCGGCTTTCAATCCACTGAGCCACACCAACTAGGGCAATGATTTATTTTATTATTGCAGATACATTGATTTATGTTCATCTTATGCTATTTCACCAAAGTAACACTGTATCTCTACAACTGGGCTATAAGCCCAGGGCATCTATCTTTTTGATCTTTTTCTATTACAGAATTCCAGGAAAAATTATGGAGTGGGAAGACTTTGCCTTATAAAACCACACTAGCCAACTCTGTTAACCTGTTTTTCTGTTCTTGGTACCTCTCCTACAAGTCTCTGGCATTCTTACGTTGCCTCTGTCCTGCTAAAGGACCCCATCCTACAACCCCACACATAATGATCTAAGTGTGGACTTTCCTCTCTGTCCTCCCAAACACTAAACTATAATTGTCCCTGCGTCTTCCAGTCTCTCAAACAAGTGAGACTAGAAATATGGCTGTTTCATTTCCACACATCTTCAGTGTGCAAAACTAATCTGATAATTTGATGTCAGAGAACTTGCAGTTGAAATGGATTATTCGTTAATCTTTTGGGGTATTTATAGTTTTGACATGGAGTGTTCTGAACCTGGGAGTGCCTTACTGGTGGTCATTTTCAAACTTCTGAAAAGGAGGAGAAAGAGATAGCTAGAAAACAGGATTCTCCTTCCCTTTATGCCTTCTTACTAACCAAAAGCTCTGCATATTCCTGTAAAATTCCATTTTCTGAACAATTGTTTCTGAGGTGTGTGGACACACAGGCATTTTTATTAACAGTAAGATTTCTGGCCCTGGCCCTGGCCCAGCGGGTCAGTTGGCTGGAGCACTGTAACCAAACAAGCTGCAGCTTCGATCCCTAGTCCAAGTGCATATGGGAGGCAACTGACTGATGTTTCTTTCTCACATCAATGTTTCTCTCCCTCTCCTTGCCACTCACTCCTCTCTCTCTAAAATCATACATATCCTTGGGTGAGGATTAAAAAATATTAAAAATAAAAAAGTAAACCCTGGCTGGTGTGGCTCAGCAGACTGATTGCTGGCCTGCAAACTGAAGGGTCGCTGGTTTGATTTCCAGTCAGGTCACATGTGTGGGTTGCAGGCCAGGTCCCCCGTAGGAGGCATTTGAGAGGCAACCAATCAATGTATCTGTCACACAGTGATGTTTCTCTCCTTCTCCTTCTCCCTTTCTTTCCCTCTCTCTAAAAATAAATATATAAAATCTATTTTAAAATATTTTATTTCTTTTTTTATTTTTAGAGAGGAGAAGGGTAGGAGAAAGAGAGGGAGAGAAACATCAATGTGTGGTTGCCTCTCACATGGCCCCCACTGGAGGCTGGGCAGACAACCCAGCATATGCCCTGACTGGGAATCGAACCGTAACCCTTTGGTTCGCAGCCTGTGTTCAATCCAGCCAGGGCTAAGCTACACCAGCCAGGGCTAAATACATAAAACCTTTTTTTAAAAAAGTAAGATTTCTGGCCAGGGAGATGTTTTTCCCTCAATACTTTGAAGGGCCATTATAGGGTATTGTGCTCACTGTGTACCCACGGTCTTTGTTTGGACTAATGGATGGACTGTGTTGAAAGAGTTCTTGCCTATCTATGTGGGACCACAACTTTCTCCTGGCTTCAAGTTAATTCAGGTTTTGTCAAGATCTGACTGTCTAGAGATTATTCTACCCCAAAGGCACAAACTAAGACTTCTTGTTAGCTACTGGATGTTGGCACCTCATTCTCACCTGGGCTTGGCTGAGACAGGAGGCATTTCAGAAAGGTGATCTAAGCACTCCTTTAATGAGGGGCTGCAGCTACTGACAGGATGTCTGCAGCTGGTAATGATGGTAGGTTCCCCTCACAGAGAAGAAAGGCTCACAAATGAACCTGCTATTCACATGCCATCCCAGAACATAAGAAAGGCTCAGAGAGCAACCAGCCGCTCAGAATGCTGCAGAGTGTGTTCTGACCAGTGAGGGTACCGCTCTATCTCTAGGAACTGCTGATCCTTCTCACTTGAATGAGGTCTGCTCCTTTTCCTCATTTTTTCTCATCGGTAAGAGGTTCCCCACCCTACTACACCTCCTCTCTCCCCATAAAGACTTTTAGATACACTAAGCCGCCCACTTCTCATTCCCTATTTTACCTTGAAAAACAGCACTGATGCTTCTAAGATGTGCTGATCACTGGCCCATTGGTTCCATGCACAGCTGCTGTGTGCAGCAAGGCCTTTGGACAATTTGTTTTGGGAGGAACTCAAGTCCAGCCCTGGTTGCTCCTCAGCGACATTCAGAGATGTCTCACAATTTTTTCTAGTGCTTAACCTATAAATAGACTTCACAACACAGCACTACATTTGCTCTGCGCATGTCCATCTATAGGTGTCAGTGTTAGGGGACTGTGCATCAAGCTTGGATTTCCTAAAAGGAAGCATGGCCCCACGTAGCCCAGCTATGACCTACTTGTGTTCCACTACCCCATAATCTTTTCTGTGGGAGGCAGATCCTATCCCATGGTCAAAGTCAGAACTATCCCATGACCCTGAGCTCCTAGACATTTTTTTCCCCTCAAACACATTTTAATTCAGGTGTTTCCGTTGTAACCATGCAACCCATTGTGGTAAATATGACTGACTGCTCTTTTATGCAAAGCAATGGCTGAATGAAGACAAAAAAATAGTGGCAGTGCCACTAAATAAGCTTCTGGACTTTTAATAGTCACGATGAATAAAACTGCTGTCATAACTGGGACTTATGAGGGAAGCCAGGGTATTCCTGGCTAAAGGGTTAATACCTACCTGTCCTTCCATTTCAGTCTGAGGAAAGTCTGAGGATTCAACTCTTCCACTCCCACAATTATATTTACATATAATGCTGTTTCATGTCTTTTCCCTGGTTAATATGACTTAACATTTGTAAATTAAACCAGAAACATAACATATATTAGGTAATATACTCACCTCTATCCCCATTATTTCCTTTGGTGTCTTCAATTGAATCTAAACAATCAATAAGGACTTCTCCAGGTCTTGTTTTCAGTTGTCTAAAATAAATATGAAGGCTTTAATTTTAAAACTACAATACAGCCACTGAAATCTACTGAAGAGGAGAAAAGACATATGTCTATAAAACAGCCAACCGTATAAATGATAAAGTGCCAAATGCTCATGCATTTGAAAATGAACTTTTCAAGAACTTCAAGAACCCGGAAATCAGTGGGCCTGGAGTGGCCGGGTCATGTAGAGAAGTCAGAACCAGAAGGAAAGGTAGAATTTGGAGGGGAGGGAGTTGGGGGGAAAAAGAGGGGGAGGGGCAAGGGGACAGGGCAAGGGATATGCATGATGGAAGACCAAAAATAAGAAAGGATGAGGGAATGTGTGAAGAGTGGCCTGGCTGGACAAGATCCACACTGAGAGGTAGTGAGAAATATAGCTGGATAAATAAGGATGAACTAGACTATGGAGAACCATAAATGCCAGTCAGACAGGGACGGGCCTCATCCTGTGGACAGTGGAGTACCCCGAGATGTTTCTGAGTAGAGGAAAGGGGGTCAGGCAATTATGGGAGGAACAGGTTAAGGCAAAGCATCATCAGGACTTTGTAAACAATCAGAAACAGGAGACAAAAGGAAACAAAGACTGAAGAATAGTTTGCTGACTGATAGAATGTATTCCAGTGTGTCAAGGAAAACGAAAAGGAAAACCGAGCAGAATATGTATTAGGGCTTTCTAACACATTCTCTATAGAGCCAATTCAATTACTTATTGAAAATACGGATATATTTTCATATGTATATCACTTCCCTGCTTAAGTCTTCCATGTCATCCCGCTGCCTAGAAAATGAAGTCCAAAATCCTCCACTGAACATTTCACAGTCTGACTAACCTATTTTTCTATCTGTACCTCTATCCTCTACCTGCCAGACATTACCTTCTAGCCAAAGGAGTTTATATATCTGAGAGCCTGCTTTTCTTTCTTTTCTTTTTTTTTTTCTGGAATACTTTCCCCGTCTTCCCTGACAAGGCTCTGCCCATTCTTCCTGACTCAACTATCATTTCTTCTCTGAGGCCTTCCCCTAGGAATTAATTTGAGGCCTTGTTCCTAGGCAGAATCAACTACTCTGTTTATACAGTCCCCCAGCTTTTTGTTCATTTTTTTTTCAAAATAGCATTTATTGAATTTTAAATAACACTTGTCAATGTACATCTCCTGCATTAATAGGGTTAGGGGAGTGAGGAAAATAATTTGCTATTATCTCTGTATCTCTAGCTATTTGCACAGTAACCGGCACATAGTAAGCATTTGATGTTTAATAACTAAACATGTTCATGAAATCAATTTTTATTGGATCACGGATGCTAAGAACTACAGAAAAATCATAGAATGTGTGTAATATGCAACTATGGTTTTATAAAGCTCCTTCCTGTATAACTTCTTAAAGGTTTTAAGATCACACTAGTATTATCTATTTAGTCACAAATATGCCTTTAAAATTACGATTTCACTTTTCCATCTAACTAGGTTCTGTTCGTGATAAGGAATCATGAGTGGCTAATAAGCTCCATGCCATTAACCCAAGAACCTTAGCTCTACTGTTTTCCAACATTTAATACAAGAAATTTCTAACTATTCTCTCTTTAAAGCATGAAATTTTCCAAAAACTTCTGTTTGAGAGGCTCCAAAACGGTGATTCTTCTCCCTGTTGGTGATTTAGACAAACAAGTAGATGCAGGCTTGCCATCTACTTACGGAAATAAAGTTTGTGTGGTTAGGAATTTCGGAGAATGCTTACTTACTGCCACCTCCCTCATTTTACAGACAAGAAGACTCAAGCATTGAATGCCGAAGTAATTTACCTAAGGGCTCATAATGTATATTATTATTTCAGGCTTAGTTTTAGAATCCTGGTTTCCTGAGTCCCTGTCCTACGTTCCTTTCACCCACGACACTGGCACCCCAAGCTCGCTTGGTGTACTAAACGCCCAGGTCCTGCGTGGGGTTTCGGCTCAGCTTCCTGATAGGTTTCCCGGCCAGGGATCGCACGGGACCTAGACCGTGCAGTCTAGACGCGCTCCAGCAGTAACTCCGGCTTCTGCAGACCCGCCGGGACTGGCCACTCTAGGGTTTCCCGAGGTGCCCACCACAGGCGTAAAAGCGCTCCCACCCTCGCCATGGCCGACGGCTGTGAGGAAGTTGGCTCCGCCCGCGGGTCCCGAAAGTGCGCCGCGGCGCCCTCTACAGGCTCCAGGCCCCTGGGGAATACCGGGGACTCACTGCGAGGACACGTCGAAGCGGATGTCCCGGTCCTCCCACAGCGCATCCAGCACAGACATGATGACCCAGACCCACAGCAGGGCCTCCCCGCAGCGGTGGAGGCCGAGCGGCGTCTCGCTGGCTCCAAGGCAACGGGCCGCCTCTGTCTCAGCGTCTACGGCGGGCGCCGAGACCCAAGCTTCCCTAAGGTAGGGCGCGCGCTTTCCCGGCCTTAACGCGTCAGTCAGTAAGCGGATTTGAGGCTCCAGGCAGGGTTCAGCTGCTCAGAGCAGCTAAGCTGGCCCCGGCCCAGGAGCTTGTGCTCCAGCGCTGCATGACCGTGCTGGCCTCCAAACACACCTGCTTAAGCCATTCCACCTATTTCCCCCATTTCTCTATAACAGGGTGTCAAACTCATTTTTACCGGGGGCCACATCAGCCTCGCGGTAGCCTTCAAAGAGCCAAACTAATTTTAGGAGTATATGAATGTAACTACTCCTTAACTGTTTAGGAGTTGAAATTACATTCAGCCCTTTGAAGGCAACTGGAAGGCTGATGTGGCCCGCGGTGAAAATGAGTTTGGCACCCCTGATCTATACTGTCAAGTTATTTAGACTTAAAACTCAAGCTACTCTCCCTCCTGCCTACTCTCCAGTCAGGCAGGGCTCAGAGCCTTTGAAGGGTCCTCTTTTTCTGCCTGGAACTTTGTTTCTTCCGATCTCAGCATGGCCTGTTCTTGATTGTTTAAATCTCAGCTCAAAGGCCCGCGGAGGCGTCCCTGACCTACTGTCACTCTGCTGGGAGCATCCTGAGGACCGCGCCTGGTCTACCCAGTTCCTCGCAACAGTGCCCCGTGGAGGCACTCAACGTTTTTGAATGAATCAAAGTGCTCTCTTTCCCTCAACTCATTAATATTTTTTTTTGCGTTTAAACGTTTTATTGTCCATTCTCGTTTTACAGGAATTCCAAAGAGTGGAACATGGAAGTCTGGCTTTCCATGGAAGCCTGGTTTATCCACCCTAGGCTTCTACCCCATCTTGCTATCTTGCTACTTGTGACTCACTCATTAAGGGTCAAATCCAACATTGGCCCAGATGGCTGCCAGAATTGTTATCTGCCAGTGACTCATTTTTATCTCCCATTTATCTTTTTTGAAAGGGAATGTCGCTGTTTTCCTATGCCTGTCCCCACCACTGTATGGTGTGAGTGCTGGGGAAAGACAGCTGCTTTCTTCAGCTTCACAGGTCTGCCAAGAGAAATTGTGCTTCAAGGAACTGTACTTACCCGACTACAAGCACAACTCAGAGACATTGCAGGTTCTTTTCCAGATCACGCAATAAAGTGAGTATGACAATACAGTGAGCTGTAGTCTTTTTGCTGAGCTGTAGTCTTGCCTTCAATTTGTAAAAAATTGTGAAGTGCAATAAGGCAAAATGAGGTAAAATGAAGTATGCCTGAATACCCAGGAGCTCATTTGCACTTGATATAGATGATTTAGATGATGAAATCTTGGGTTTTTGAGCTGATGCTGTAATGGCATGAGAGGGGAAACTTGGGAGGAAGTTAATTTTTTTTTCCTTTAGGAGGGGCATGAATTGTTGCGGGCCATAGGGTAGGCTATAGTCTGCGGAATTCTAAATGTTGCCTAAGGCACTGGCTAGTGTGGCTCAGTGGATTGAGTGCCAGCCAGCCTGTGAATCAAAAGGTCAATTACTGGTCAGGACACCTGCCTGGGCTGTGGGCCAGGTCTCCTGTTGGGAGCCATGTGAGAAGCAACTGATCGATGTTTCTCTTCCTCTCTTTCTCCCTCCCTTCACCCCTCTCTAACAATAAATAAACAAAAAAAAAATCAAAAAGAAAAAGAAAAGAAATAACCAGAACACTTTGATAAAAAAAATAAAAAATGTTAAAGCAACTTAATCTTGTTTTTAATTTTTATCAGGCTTTTTTTAAAAAGATTTTATTTATTTGTCTTTAGAGGGGAAGGGAAGGAGGGAGGGAGAGAAATATCAATGTATGGTTGCCTCTTGTGTGTTCCCTGCTGGGAACCGGCCTGTAACCCAGGTAGGTGCCCTGACTGGGAATTCAACCGTGATCCTTTGGTTCGCAGGCCCATGCTCAATCTACTGAGCTACACCAGCCAGGGATTTCATCAAGCTTTTAAAATGTGTTCGCATGGTAACTTCATGTAGGCCTAGGTCCCATCCTGTCTTTGCTGTCACCATTTTCAGATCTAACCACATCATGTTTCACTCCTAGTGTTATTACCTTTCATTTCTTTCTCCTTTCGTCTTTGTTGACCAATTTCCTCATTTGATTATCCATTTTTGTAAAATGTTGCTTAGGTTTAATATAGGGAGCCATTCCTCATGGCATGGGAAAGTAGCTCAGCCCCCACTTGGAAAGGTCAGTGGGGAGCTAGTCAGCACATAGGAACCACGCCCACGGAGAGGTTTTCCTGTGGGGAATCAGAACTGCATTATACCTAGGCCACTATGAGGCTTGCTTTTGCTAAAACTCTCTCACCCTGAATTGAGGAGGCAACTACTTACTGCAACTTCCTAAAATCTGAGCTAAACCTCCCAAGCATAGAATGTAACCAGTCCAATTACTTTTCCCCTTGATCTGTAACATTCTTCTATTTGAAGTAATTAGCAACATTCTTTCCTTTGTTATCTGTAAAAGGTAATCACCTACAGTGAACCTGTGCATAATAAGTGAAGACCATCCTCAATGTAATGTACCCAGAAAAGCAATAAAAGCCTGTCCAGGCAGGGCCTGGGCCCTTTCACATTTAGAGAGCGTCAGAGCTGTCCCTTCTTCTCCATAGGACTTCTGTAGTCCATGTGAATTTGTTCATGGCTGCCACAACACACGGATCCTGCTGGCCAGGACCCACATCAGTTTATCACATATAAATCTTTGAATTCTTGACAGGTAAATCAGACAAATGTTTTCTAAGAAAAATACCCTTTAATTTTATTCCTCCCTGCATATTTCAAGTTATCTTCCAAGACCCAGATGTCCTTTTCCAACATCTCCAAGAATGTAATTCCTTGAGCTGAGTCTTATTGGCTGGAATCTGGACAAAGTAAATAAAATGGAGAGAAAGAAGCAATCTTGCTTGAAATTCTTGTGATCATTCTTGTAAGCTTGCTTCCTTCTTAATTCCTGCATTGTGTCAAAGGAGCTTGCAGAAAAGGGTTCATTGAATTAAAAATAGACATATTCTCAGATTAGACTCATTCAAGCTCCTCTGGGGTCAGACACCCATGGCCAACCTTCCCAACAGCTCCTACACTGTCTCGGACCAGGGAACTTGGTTCTGCCTCCCCGCTTTGCATTCTCAGGCTCGGCCTCACAAGAAGCACGATGGCACCAGAGCGGGTGCAAACAGCAGGAAAATCTCAGGTTAATTTTTATAAGTGGTGTAAGTAAAGCCAGAGGTTCACTTTTGTCCCTCATGAGGTTCCTTTACTTTCTATGTGAATATTCAGTTATTCCATCACTGTTTGTTGAATTACTCTTGCCTGCTCGCACCTTTCCAGAAAATCTATTTATATTTATCCCTAGAAGCAAAGTTAAAGGCTTGAGGGGGGATATGTATAATGACGTTAGAGCCCAGTGAGAGACAGCAAAGAAGCACGGGAGAGTCAACACAAGAATAAAAAGGAGTTGTTAACCTATGTCATGGAGTCATTTCTTCTCCTTCCTTCACCCATCTCCATTTTAAAATTATCTCCTTATTTTATTAATGTTGAGAGTTCATATGGAAATCCAAGGAGTCAGCTTTCACCTTTCATTGTGTCCACAATAATGTTGGATGCCCTACTGGTTGCTATCTTGTCTGACAAGAAGCCATAGCTTACTAGGAAGACATTCGGGAAGCCAAATGTGTTTTACAACCTTAAGGCTTCAGTGCATATATTTTACTCATTGTTCCCATTAGGTGGCAATCAATGTTGACTGAAATACATTTGTATCTCAAAACAAAATTATTGCATTTAGAAACAACTTTCCAAGTCCAACTACAGAAATTGATGCTAAACAAATAGCCTTTAAGGGCAGAATTAACTGTATTTGTACTATTCTGTTTGATGTATTCCTTAACAATTTTTTTGAATTTTTATGAGTTTATTTGAGCTGAACTGATGACATATGCCAAGAATAAGATCTCAAATGCTCCTTTTCCTTAACCTCTATGTTGAGACAACCATGAAACACATCCCACAAGCTTCTCAGTAGTGTTTGCTGTAAACTTTTAAAATATAAAACAGCAACTGGAAGACTTTTATTTTATTCTAAAATTTTTATTTAAAAATACTTAAACTATGTGCTGAAATGTTGAATTTATAGGATGCTTTGTTCTTTGGTTGAACAAAGATTTTCCTACTATAAAGAAGTTGTGGAGTCCACTTAAAGATTTCAAGCTTATGTAAAATAAGATGAAGCATTATGGTTTATGTACATGATGTTCTTTCGGATGTATTCATATCATAGAGGGTGTGTTAAGAAATGATATGTTCAGTGATATTTTATTATATCACTGAAAAGGATGTCCAGTTACTTAGACAATTGGATGAAACACAAAAATTCTCAATTTATGACAAAGCTCATCATCAATTAATACTCACTATTAACCCTGGCTGGTGTAGCTCAGTTGGTTGGGCATTGTCCTGCAAACCCAAAGGCTGCCGGTTCAATTCCCAGTCAGGGCATGTGCCTAGGTTGTGGGTTCAGGTCCTGGTTGGGGCATGTAGGAGAGGTAACTGCTGGATGTTTCCTTCTCACATTGATGTTTCTCTCCCTCGTTCTGCCTCCCTTCCTCTGTTTCTACAAAATAAATAAGCAAATAATTTTAAAAATATATATACATGCTGTTAACAGCAATAGGCCATGCTTAAAGACATGTTTATTTTCTTAAGGCACTGCATACAAAATAGATGTGTTTTTGCTCTGATAGACTGAGTCGGCTTTTAGTGTAAAAGGCTGGCAGTACATTGTGCAGAGGAGGCAAATCTCAACTTTGACAGTGAAGGGTGCAGTGGGAAACCGGGAGGCTATGTATTTATCACCTCATGTCTTTCTACCAGGACAGCTGGTTTTCTTTGTAACTGCCGCAGCCCCTGCTTCTAGTAACGGGAGGAATCAGTCCGCTTCTTT